ACCAACAAATGGAATTTTTATGACAAAAACAGCCACATTGGATTGATTTAAGATGTGCAGCATTATTTTTTATTTGAAATGAACCGATTAATCTAGTAAGTGACAAGAATTCCAAAATTGTTAGAGACTCGACACTTTATTAACAAAAGTCTTTAAGACCATAATAACACTTTTTAAACAATTTTAACCAAATTAAAGTCTAAGAAAATTATAACCTGCTAAATGAGTTGCCAATCATGCCCCTTAAACAGAAATATGTGGTATTATAATATTGTAAGTCCAGAAATCTACGGTCCAGAAATGTATGGTCCACGTTTGTACGGTCCAGATATGTATGTCTAGAATTCTAGGGTCCAGATTAATACGGTCCAGATATGTATGTCTAGAATTCTACGGTCCAGATTAGTACGGTCTAGATATGTACTTTCCAGATATGTACAGTCCGGGGTTTTTAAGGTCCAGATTTATACGTGAACCCCTCAAAGTTATTACAGGTTAATCGTTTTCACTTAAGTACACCTATGGTTAGGGGCGGATCCAAAGTTTGGAAACTGACAAACTGTGGGTCAGGACATTTCTTGAGGCCACTTGGAACCACCGCCGTTAGTGTTCCAGTTTCACGCATTTTCGTTATCGTGTCGTGGATAGCACTGTAAAGAAGATACGTGGTAAATGGCGCAAAATCGTTAAGGTAGCGTGGCGTTTAGCGATTGGACGGCGGTGATAGAAATTACACCGTACCCCCCGAACTATCATCAGGTCATACACTATAATCTCGTCCGGAACGGCGTCCTCTCGATGCTCACAGTACGAAACTATGCCTCAGACTGAAGCCCTCAGTGCGACAGACGAAGACCGCAGTGTGCAGTCAAACGTACAGTGGCGTATACATAATTTTTGTATTGGGGGGGGGGGGATAAAAAAAAAATTTAAACCTAGTTACTGTTACCTAATATTTGTGCATTATAACAATAAATAACAAAACATATATATTTAATACATTTTATTTCAAAACTACAAACAATTAAAAATTATAGTAAAAAATGTAGTTTTCTTTTTTTTTTTGGCTAATTCGTCAATTACTTCTTCTTTACTGATAGAAATATTTCTATGCACTGCCATTAATGTAAGGCCGTTTATTCGCTCCTACAACAATCAATTGTATTACGTAAACTAATTGCAAAAAAAGTAAATTTATTTATATTATTAACATTGAAATATTACCTCTTTCATAGTGTTCCTTAAATAAGTCTTTAGCCTTTTTAAACATGAAAACATTTTCACAGTTGTAGCAGTAGACACGGGCAATGTACAAAATATTTTAAATAATTTTTTCAAATTAGGATAAATAAGTTCACTGCATTCTTCTAATGCTTTCAGTCCTGTCTTTGGTTGTATATTTAACCGTTTGAGTTTAACATTCCACATTTGTAACTCAGCTCTGACAGTATCAATATCAATTTCAGGTAAATAAAATTTTACCAGGTCATCAAATTCAGCTGGTGGATTATCTGACTCATATGAGAATAAACACTGAAAACCTGAAACATTTAGAATAATAATAAGTTAAGGGGCCTGCACGCGACCTGTTTTTTTTCTCAAAAACATGCCTTACAGGAAAAACTCTCACGCCTCGTAGATTGGTCCGATTTCCGTAATTTTTTTTTTGTTAGATAGAGGAAGACTTCTTACAGGGCGCATTGGACTTGGATTTTCAACATTATTTTTCTAAGTCTTATGTTACAAGTTTGAATTTAATCAATTTTTACAACTTTTTAGTTTTTGTATTATTTTTAGTTTTTAGCGACGTAATCAAAAATCGAAGTCCAATGCGCCCTGTAAAAAATATTCCTCTATCTAACAAAAAAAAAATTACGGAAATCGGACCAATCTACGAGGTGTGAGAGTTTTTCCTGTAAACTGTGTTTTGACCGATATAATACACCCTATCAACCCCCCCTAAATAGGTATTGGGTAGTAGATTAGTGGAAAAGTCTTATAATTGAGGTGGCAACTAAAATATAAAATTTAATTTTCAAATTTTATAGAATTGCGGAAAATTTGAAAAATCGCGAGCAGGCCCCTTAACAATGATTTTATTTAATCATTATGTTCTAACCATTAAAAACATTTCTATGTTCTAAAAACCTGTCTTCCAATTGCTGTATGAAAGCATCGATGAATGAAATGCATATAGTTATTCGAAAATAGACTTCCGGTTCAAGATCTTTATCATTTTTTTATGGATTAGCTTGATAGTCCGATGAAAGAAAATGTTTCATGTAATCAATATCTTCAGTTTTATATTTTACTATTTCACGGAAGTTTCCTTCATTTACTTTAGATTGCTCTGTAATTAAATAATTTATATCTTAAAATAATCTTCATGTATTACAATATTAAGCTGGTATAGTAACTAGTAAGCATCAATAATAAAACTATAATTATTATAATACAACTTACCATCAAATGAAATTGAACCAAAATCTCGATGGCCTCTTAGAGCAAGTTCTTGGTGGCCACATAGCATAATACATTCTATAATACAACTTAAGCGTTTTCGATTTTCAATTACTTGTTTATTCCTGTATAAGTAACAAACATTTTATATTAAATATTTAAAAATGCATAAAATTTCAAACTCGCCTTTCTTCATTTAAGGTGTTTATTATTTCCGGTTCCTTTTGCATACAAATGTTTAAAAATCTATCAGCTTTTGGCAATGCTAATTTGTGATATTCATGATTAGCATGATTTTTTAAAGTCTTATAATTATAAAATAAATAAATAATAAAATTAATATGTTGCATTTTAAAATATGCAGAAAATATAACTTAATACATACTTCTAAAGCTTTTTTAAAGCTGTCCATCGGTTTCAATATAAGTACACAAAGCTTTTGACCTCCAATTCTACCAATTTTTGAAAAAACCACACATACTTTACAAAAACCACCCTGTTTAATTTCTGAGTATGCTAACCACTTGTATAATTTTAACCAACGATGTTGAAATCTAAGATTTCTAGTTTTATTTTTTTCAACTAAAGGGAATTTATATGTTACTTCCGGAACCCATAAGTTGGTTAAAATCTGCATAAGTTAATTAACAACAAACTATCAATAAATAATTAAAATTAATAATACTGCCTACTTTTTCAATAGTAAAACATAAATAAATATGACAATTTACTTACAAGATTTTTGTCAGCATCTTTTAAATTACAATTTATAAACAAACCAATATCATTTATACGTTATGAAGGTTGTGTTGTATTATTAGGTTCAGCAATTTCTAATTCATCCAAATGCATTATTTTTGGAGGTGTAGGAATAATAGTATTATTAGAGTAAATAGTATTATGGATGTTGATGATATTAAATATATCAAATAAATACAAAAAATAGTATGTGTGACTCGTGAGGAATGCAATTTCAGTCTTGGGTGAAATAGCTCACTTCCCACACTTTCCACACAATATACTATTAATTATACAATAGACACTATTATAAATAGTTTAGTTGTACGATTTTTATCTCATCAGATTTTATATACGGATTTAGAATGTTTCGATCCTTAAAGATTCGATAGTATAAGAAAAAATAGTTCATCATCTAAAATGCGTTGGTTAAAATATGTGAGCTGTGAGTTGTGTTTAACACCTTCTAATATTATAATATTATAAAATCACATTATTAGTTATTACCTATAGATATAGGCTTATTATCGCCGAATAATAAATACCTACATTTTGTATAGAGGTTTAATTAGAAACTAATATACTTGAGAAATCATAGGTACTATGTACAGTGAGCGAGAAAAGAAACAAAGTAGTAAACTTCATACAGTTCCTTATTGCTCATTCACTACTTTATGTTCTTTCTCTCTCAGCTATATGGTTATAACTTATATTATGATCGCCTATATAGCATTGATGACTACCATAGACCACAATAGTACGGACAGCCACGACTAGCCACCGCTCAAGCTACATTCAATTTAATGTAGAAGTATAGTATACTTAACTCAGTATTTCTGTGTTTACGTATTTACGGGAATGATAGTACCTGATGCCCGTATTTACGTATTATGTGATTAGGTATATTACTGACGGGCGACGAGTTATTATCATTATGAATGTTTCGCGACTCTATCGGTGCGACGGATATTATTAAGATATTACGATATTATATTCAAATACTATAATCAGTATAATCTATAGTATTTATTATAACCACAACGTCGTCCACAACATTTATGACACGACACGACGCACACAGTCCTCGTATAATAATATGATGATAAATAATTAACAAAAAATAAACAATCGTCGCGCGGTGTTTGCGTACGCGTGTAAAAATATAGGTAGGCAGGCTCCGAGCGAATAGAAGAGAGAAACGCAGTGCGCATAGGAGGTTAGACGAAACACTTGCGTATACATTGCCGAGCGTATAAAACGTAATAATAACGACGGCACTATGATGATTGTATAATATTATTATAGTAATATAGTGTGATGGATTGAGTATTAAATTAATAATGTTTTATACGCTCGTCAAGCTTTTCCGCGCCAATATTGACACGCGGCCCGGTCGGACGTCGCCTCGATCGTCGTCGGTTGTTGCGATGTTGTTATGATAGTAATATTATATATAGGTAGTGCGCTGTTGCAGTCGCGGACCGCAAAACCGTCAGACGATAAAATATAATAAACACACCTCGACGAGTGCGACGTGTGTAGAACAACATTTATTATAATAATTACACAAGACAAGACTACGCGGCCAGACGGCCCCGACGACGGATTCCGAGGGCCCGCCTACCTACAATATTATACAGACGCCCCCAAATAATATAATTCATAATTATATTATTATTAGATACATTTATTGACGATTGACATAATAATTATTATTATTATTGTGGTTGTTGTTGTTGTATTTTAGCATAGACGCTTGGAGTCCGTCATCGTCTCGTCCATCTGCGGTCGACGTCGCCGAAATGTTAACGACTACCAAGCGCGCAACGATTATTGCGCTGTGGTTGGTGTGCTGTTACTACGACCAAGTGAGTGTAATGTAGTGTAAAAGTGGGGGGCATTGACAAGTTAAGTTTTAAAGTTAATTTATTAAAACTGTTGACCTATACTTAGGCACTAAACTTATTTAGGGCCGTATTCATAGTTGAAGCTTGAGAATAACACGTATTGCTTAACCTATACCTACTTATGATTCAAATGATATTCATTCTGCTTTGACTTAAGAAAAGAAAATAATATTACTTGTTTTTAAAGTTGGCCGAGACCTACTTCCCTTTGCTGACCAATGGGAAGTTTAAGTCCTCTGTTATTTTACACGTATCAAAAAGTAAAAAATTAAAATATGTTCTATACTTCTATGTGACCAATGAGACATATAAGGCACGGTGTTTTCTTTCGATTTTATAGGAAGTGAGTTTATGCCTCACCAATAGATAACTATATCTATATAGAAAAATTGACTATTTAAATTTGAGATTTGTAATTTTTTTATTTATATAGAATATGATAACAATCAATTAAATTATTTATAGTTTAATATTTAGTGGTCGTTATTTTTAAATAACTGTAAGAAATTAAAAAAGTAACGGTTTCATTACAATCTCCATTGAAGAACAGACCAATGGGACTTATTTTCATGGTCCTTAAAAAACTATACATTTCGAATTTTAGATTCTGAGTGAAACGATGAATATATTGATTTTACAATGATGTGTGTTTTTTTTTATTTTTTTTATTTTTGTGTCTGTGTACACGATTAGTAGTCGAAATAATGCTTCGATTTTCAACTTCAGTAACTTGTTCGATGGGAAAGTGAATCTAGTTGGTACTTTTGTGAGGTCAAAATTTAAAATTCAGAACAGTTTTCACAAGCGACAAGATTAACAAAAGAAAAATTAAGGAAAAACGGGAATATTTAGGCGAAATCGATTTTTCACAAAATTGAATTTGGTTATTGGTGTAACTTAAAAACAAATGACCGTAGACACTTGAAATTTTCACTGATTGTTTATATTTGAATTTTATATACACTATAACATTTTCAAAATATTTTGATTTATTTTGAACTGTTAAGGGACATTTTCATTTTGCATTTTTTTTTAGTTTTTTTTCTAAAGATATTAATAAAATTTTATTTGTTGGCTGAAAAAGCTTGAAAATTTAATAGAAGGCTCCTAGTATATTGTTTCAAAGGCAGATGAAAAATATAAAAATCCTTAGTCACAGTTATTTTTTTCTAAGCATTTGAAGTTCATAAATTGACAAAATATGGAAAAATCACGAAAATTAGCAAATTATTTTGAGTTAAAAATTCGTAAAAATTTTTCTTTTTAAATCTTAGGTTTTAAAATGTAATACAAGTTTGTCAACCTTTATCAAAAAAAAATGTCTATAAGAAAGTCAAATTAAATTTTTATGAGCGTTTTAAATTCAAATTTTTACAACATTGGATATTCACTCGATTTCTCATGTAGCGATTTCCTTATTTTGTTGTAATTCAAAAACGAATAACTGTAGATACATGAAAATTTCACTGAATGTTTAAATTAGCATTTTCTATACACCATAACATTTTGAAAATATTTTGACTCTTTTTGAGCTGTAAATATCAATTAAGTTTTATCTGTTGGGCCAAAAAGTGTAAAAGTTTAATACAAGGCTCCTGATATATTGTTACAATAGCAATTGAAAAATTTTAAAAATTCATTGGCACAATTTTTTTTTAAAGCATTTAAAGATCGAATTTTGACAACATTTATCAAAATCTCGAAAATTATCAATCATTGAATTAATAAATTATAAAATGTTCAGTTTTTATAGCTAAGGATAGCAAATTTAAAACAAAGGTTCTCATAAATAATTCATTCTGTAACCAAAAAATCTAAAAAATATATGAAAACAGTTATTTTTTACAGACATTTTAAATTCAAATTTGGACGAAATTACATATTAAAAAACCTAGAACAACTATTTTAGTTATTTTGTTGTGATTGATTAATATTCGTGGGTACTTGAAACTTCTAAAGTCTACTATTATATATCTATGATTGTATCACGGTTTTTGTTATAAGTACCGTGTATAAGTACCTAATGGATATTGTGATATGATTAATTTGGAATTTATTATAGGTACCTATTATAATAGGCCATTTTTTTGTTTAATACCATAGATATGTATATAATATGTCTTATACCTTCACTGACATACCGGCTCCGCTCAGAATCGTTTTTCTTATACAATGATATTATATCAATGAGTTCAAATTTAATACTATCCATTATACAGTGACAGACCTGTAACCTACTGTACAGCAGAGCAACATTTTTAAACTGAGTTAAGTTAATATTATTTTTTATATTAACATACAACTTGGTGAGTTAAATGTTTTATTTATAAATATTACCTAACTCCTTACATCCACTTAACTTAACTTGAGTTAATTATTTTCATAAACTTGCCCAACTTTGCACTTCCATATAATTCCAAAATATTGAAAGTAGATCAAGGGTGGCCAGACTTTTTTTGATTATTATCTAATGAGGGTATATTTTTCTTTTAGGATCGACTAATGTAAAAAAAATATTTTGTATTAATAATTAACATACTTATATGAATAATAAAACCCAAGTGTAAAGTTATCCAAAGTAAGTGTTTCACATTAAATTTCTAAATAGTTTGAAAATGTATTAACATTATACTGTTGATGTAGAAGCGTGTGGTTGTCTATCATCATGACCAGTTAATTATAATCTTGGTACCTAATAGTAGCTAACTGCTAATTAACGAAGACGCTGCTCTAAATGATCATAAAAAAAGTAAAGCTCAGTACATATTCAGCTTTTATAACTTTCAATTTTCATGTGATAAAATGCCATTTGACACTAACAGGTTAATCGGATATATGTATTTAATAACTAATAAGTAATAACTAAATCTACTAAATAACAATGATCAATAAATTCTAACAAAGGGGGTTGACTTAGAAATCGTCCATGATCGACCGTTTTTCACCCCTTGTATAGATGATAATCAGATAATAAACATTTGCAATTTGCATATTTGTTTGGAAAGTAAATGGAATTAATCAGATTCGATATAAATTTGTTTTGTGGTATCCTCGGGATAGTTTTAATACCACATATTACATTTAATATTACCTACATATTTTTCATAGGTATTTAGGTAGGTACATAAAAAAATCAATTTTTTTTATAAAATAAATGAATATTATTTACATTATGTAGGTACAAAAATGTTATTGAAATATTTAGCCTACTATATATCTAGATATCTATATTTGCTTCTAAATTGGCGAAAAAAGAAAACAGTATACACTATACATCCTCATGTGTTGCTCCGACTTTCTGGCTACAAATACGGCTATAACCATAGTGTGGACATGATTCTTTTCTTCTGATAATAATCTAGTTCAAACTAAGATCTAACCTAGCAATAGTAACCGTGTATAAACTGACCATTTTTAGTTCAGTCTTAAGTGGTTAGTAGTACAACGATTTAGTGAACTAAATCTATTCAATTTTATTTTTTCCAACTTGTGACGACTCCTATTCTCCTAATACAACTAAGACGGCTAGCGAAATGAATCTTGAAATGTTTTTTTAGTGCTCACTAATGATGTACCTAGCTATTATAGGTATATGTCCAGAAATTGGTCGAATGAATTTTGTAACAAAACAAAATTTTTCCCTACCATAGATTTTGAAATCCATGATTAAATGATAACTACTTGTTCGTATAATGTATATCATCTAAAACGGGAGGGGGAGGCCCTGTTTCCCCTTCTACGGGCTACCTTGCTCGTACTGTCATCTCATGTGGAATGTCACAATGACTGTTTGAAAAAAATGTTTCTACTCCAATCGCCTTGTGTGCCTAGGACCAAAACTTGATAACAACTGAAACTGCATTAGTCTGCCAACCCAACGGTCACAGGGCTATCCCTCTACCCCCTCTCCTGACTCCTACCCATCGAAGAGCTACACCTGATCTAAATCTATCCATTAATTATGGCACACCCCGTATTATTTAAAAACACCCCCTTATCGCACCTACGCAAGGATATAATAATATATCATCATCGTTTTCATATCGCAGGCGGCCTCCAACGAACACAGTCACGTGCGGACAAAGAGCTCAACACGCTTGCAGAAGACCCAAGACCTAACGTCCGGCATGCCCTTGGTGAACGTGGTGGCCGGTTCAGCGACCGTTAGCGGTGAAAGATCGTTGGACACCGACACCTATGCCGATCCCGACACCGACGCTGACATTGACACCGACACTGATACAGACACCGACACCGACATCGACACCGACACCAACATCGACACAGACACTGACAAGCTCACCATCATCAAATCGTCAAACATGAACACTGGCAGCGGCGGAGGCGGCATTGGCGGTCTGCGAGATTTGTTGTTCCGGAAACCAAACAAAATTTTCAAGAGTCTCATGCGGACTAGCGTAAGGGTCGTGCAGCGCGGAATGAACGCGTTTCAGGGGGTGTCAAACAAAGTGTACCACGTGGCCCGGAAACAGATCGGTGTAAAGCGTAACAGCGGCTCTTCGTCGGCGTCCACGAGTAAATCGGACGAGGGTGGCGATGGAGACCGGACACCGGCCAAGCGACAAGCGGTCACCGAGAAAAAGCCGACCGGCTTTGTCAAGAGGGTGGCCAAAATGCTTGACACAGGGATCGCGGGCATTGAACAGGTCACCGACCTGGGTATGCTGTTGGGAAACATAGGCACGCACAAGCTATTGTCCAAGCTGGACGGCAAGAGCGGCAACCAGGAAATATTCAAAATGCTTATCAAATTCGTCGGTACGTACCTGTATAACGCGAGAAATAAGGTTGGACATCATAATACATATAATTGATAATCTATATATATTATTATATATAAATAAATAACACTTTATCGGTCGTACCATTAACTCCGCCTATACATATAGTAATGGAAAAATAGATACATAACTGGAATGGTATTATAGGGTAGAATTTCCCAAAATAAAAAAAAGTTGTTCACATATTATGATGAGATATTGAAATTAAGGTACCTAGGTAAAATAAGAAAATGAAATTACACTAGTCACGGTGGTGCCATAATATTATTATGTTGTTCAGTAAAATAATATTATAAGAACAACTATTTTCCAGGTAAATACTTGTATAATCCGAAATATAAAAAGCAGTAACCTAACCAATTCATATAATAAAAATATATAATTATAGGTAGTTGATTTCTTTTTTTATTCAAATGTACCTCGAAAGGCAATGTCCGTTCGTAGCTTAGGTATAGACTCAAAAATAAAATACAAGATTTTTCCATATTATGAAACGTTCATACGAATAAAACGTGGAGATGGTACTAGTATTATAATGTAATAAAAGGAATAGCAGCTAGGGGTTCGTAACTTTTTCTTGATTATGGATCACTTTACGAAATCAAGTATGAACCAACTGCACGAAAATCATTTTTGATTTCAATTGTTATTTAATGTTTATATGTTAATTTAAAATAAACAAATCTGGACCTTCGATTAATCATCTAGGTTCTAGAGTAACCTAGCAATTAACCTAACCTATAGTCTGTCCAGCGAGAGAACGAGCCGCGCAAGTTTCGATAGAAAGGTGACGCGGGAGGATGCGCAGAGTCCGAGCTTTCTCTCGCTGGACAGAGGGACCCAATAACCCTTAGGCTCCTGGTAAATGGACGACTGGTTTTGAACCCCCCAGCCAACGGGGGAATGACGGCCAATGACCGTTGCCTGTCTGCGATCAAATATTGTATCTCATTAAATCTGATAGCTAAAATTTATATTTTCATGTTAGGTATATTTGATGAGTGTGTAATAGTTGTTATTACTAGTAGTATCTATCAAAATAATAAACAAAATTGTTAAGAATAACATGGTATTTTTGTCAGCACAAATAGCATCTCAATAGAGGAATATTTAATTTTTACCCACATTACCACATTGGCTATATTGTTATTTCTAAATATTGAGGAGATTACAATTTATTGTAATTACTCTTAATTCATTTAAATATTATTGTTTTTGTGCAAATAGATGTATTAAAAAAAGCGTTGTGGGTTAATACCATCCTAAACTAATTGAGTAATGATAACTAATTTCAACTGACTGCCATTTCTCCGGAGTAAAGAAATTATAACAACGTTTATAATTAATAATTTATAATTGATATAATAATTGTAAGTAACGTTATTTATTTTAGACGTAGATATGTGAGGACTGAGGAAAACAAACATAGCTGGTTGGAATACTGTTTACTGATAATTTAATACAAGCTCTTAAAATATGTATTTAGGTGTGATCGGTATCACCATGATATAGAGAAGCGTAGGTACCTAATAATCGAAATTCAAACGAACATTAAAGAAATTTCGTCAAATACATCGCAGATAATATTATTATTATTATTATTAAATAGGCAGAGGGGTAACGACGGCTGCATAGTGTTGGATTATTATTTCAAATTACTAATTTCCCGATTATAACCGATAACAAACAATTGGGTTTTTATCAGAAATCAAAACCGTTTCAAATTTTAACGGTTACGGTTTCAGTTTTTTCAGAAATTTTTTGGTTTTAATTTCGGTTTCAAAAATGTTTTTTCAAATGTATCGGTATCAAGATCTGTTTTTTTTTTCAAATTTTGAATTTTTTCCTTTACCTAATAACTGTAGATTTGTATTATTTATTAACTATTAAGAGCTGCGCCTAAATCCCTAAAATATATACGATTTGTATAATTATTAGTGTACAGGTACATACAATATAGCAAATTCACATTCAGCAGAACCAATTTCGTGTTAATAACTTGAATATGTTGTACCTACCTTTGCATACAACTTATGGTTAAGATCATTATTCAATTACATTAATATTTAATTTTAATTTTAATTTTAATTTACAATAGCATCACACTATATTACAGTATAATAAATCTCTTGTGCGATTAATCATTAATGCTTATGAGTTTTTGATACTTGAACAAAATATTAATTTAAATGGTTCCTAAAAAAAAGGGGGTAAGTGGATGTCGCTCTGCTGTACAGTACAGGTTACAAGAGGGTCATTGTATAATGGATTGTATTAAACTTGAATTCAATGATATAATATGATTGTATTTGTATAAGAAAAACGATTCTGAGTGAAGACGGTTTGCCAGTCTGGATATTTTATATTGTTATTATTTATTATAGCATGTAAGTTGAATTAATATTATAATATTATTATTTTTTATTCGTTTCTATGGTAATAAACAAAGCGTTATAAATTAAAATCCAATTTTTCGGTGGTTTTTACAGTGGCATTAAATAACTGTTGATAAAATTAAAAAATTACCTTTTTAAAGTACCATCTTGATACAATTTTCTAAAATATAAGGTACTATATGTTGAAATCGAAGCACTCCTTCTAGTAGAAAGTTTGTATACAGAATAAATAAAAAAAAAAAATAAAAATATTTTCTTCCCATAAAAATACTCATTTTAACTAGAATTATAAAAAGTATAGGTAATTAACTTTATAAAATTCAAAAAAACCAATATTAGTTTTAAATTTCAATCGGTTTTAAGAACTTTTTTTCAAACGGTTTTTTAAGATTTTAGGTTTCAGTTACGGTTTATTGACCGGTGTTTTAAAGCTTTTATGTTTACGGTGTTCGAATATGAAAAAACCGTGGTTTTAACCTGTTTTTCAGAAAACAGGTCAAATCTGAGTCGATCCCTGGTTTCGATATTATTTTATCATAAAAAATTTAATAATAAATAACCCTGTAAGTAGGACGTCGATGACACAATGTTAATAAATTTTATAGCGAAAGAAGTAATAATCACCATTTATTATACACTTTTCTTAAGTTCGGTTTCACGTCCGTCTGTGATCAAATCTTGCGCGCTCGATTTGAGGCACATTTTGAAGATGAAAAATTCTGAAAATTGGTATAGACCTTGGTTTTTGATGACAATACAATAATCCGTAAAAAAAAATTTTTTAACTAAAAAGTAGAAAATTAAAAATTAAAAAATTTTTTTTTAAAAACACACTTTTCTAAAAAAACAAAAAAATAATGAAAAATTTAAAAGTGTGTGGCGCTCTTACACTTGACATATTATACCACACACTTTTAAATTTTTCATTATTTTTTTGTTTTTTTAGAAAAGTGTGTTTTTATATAATTTAAATTCTAAATAAATATTGAGAATATTTATTTTAGATATTTTTTAATTTAGCATATGAACAGCTTATGAAGAAGCTTTTTTAAATTGTCATGCTCTCATGCCTAAAAATAAAAATGTTATCATAAATAAATAAAAAAAAAACTAAAATGTCAGCAAGTGCAGGGTACTATTCTGCTCGAAAGTACCTAAGTGTCGAGTTCTCGAGTGGGTCACTATAATAGAGATATATTACCTACGAAAGATTGATTTATATTTTTTTATGTTTTGGGACACATAACATTTATTATTTGAATCACTCCACTTAGAATATACAAGTTAAAAAATTAATATAGGTACATACTACCTACCTATCACTAGCACAAAAAGATGCAAAATATTTTGGAAATTATTTAAGTCTAGTTAAATTGTTTGTGAAAATTTCAAGTCCCTATATTATATTAGTCTAAAAGTTAATCATTTCGTGCTTACAAAAAAAAAAAATGAAATCGATTTCGAAAAATAAAAGCAAACAAATTTTCGTTTTTCTTAATTGTTTCTTGGTTTTTTGAAAAGTACCTAAGTATCACTTTGAATTTTTTACTCTTTGAGAATAAATATTAACAAAATACAATTTTTAATGAAACACTACACATCATTGTAAAATCAAATCGCTCCGCTTTCTAATCAATATTAAAATTATCTATAATGAAATCGACGAATTGATTAATTTAATAATATTACAATACGAGTAATTGTGTCATATGATTGTTTTAAATGTATTATTATAAAACAGACATTATAAATTCTGCTGCGTTGGATGATGTTATAGATTCTGAGTGGAACGATGTATTTTGATTTTAATGATGTGAAATTTTTTTTATTTTTTATTTTATTTGTGTCTGTGTACACGATAAGTAGTCGAAATAATGCTTCGATTTTCAACTTCAGTATCTTGTTAGATTGGAAAGTGAATATCGTTGGTGCATTGAGGAGGTAAAAATTTAAAACTCCCAGTAATTTTCAAAAGCGCCAAGAAAAACTAAAGAAAAATTAAGGAAAAACGGGCATTTTTACGCAAAATCGATTTTTATCAAAATTTAATATCAACTTTAAAACAAATGACCTTAGATACTTGAAATTTTCACTGGTTGTTTATATTTGCATTTTCTATACACGATAACATTTTAAAAATATTTTGATTTTTTTTTTTTTTTTTTTATTGATCTAATAAAATACCCGACAACAACTATGGTCATTAGCTACAAATATGAAATATACAATAGTTATTTACAGTTTTAAGGTATTCTTATATATAGGTTAGGTATTAACATTGAAATTACAGAATAGGTGTGGTTACATAGTGTACAGTCGGGTTAAATATTATTATATTAAATTGTAAAGGCCTGTCAATTTCAGGAATTTTATTATCTTAAAGTTTTCTTCGGTGTTGGGTCCCAGTGCGGTGTCCAGTGATGAATCTAATCCGATGATTTGACGATCGCGTTGGAATTTTAGGCATTCGGTTATGATGTGTTTCACTGTTAATTGGACACCACAGACTTCACACGAGGGGGGTTCTGCCTTTGCCATTAGGTGCCCGTGCGTAAGTCGTGTGTGTCCAATTCTCAATCGGTTTAGAACCGATTCTTCTTTCCTTTTTAAAGAATTGTTAATCCACCTGTTGGTTCATCTTTTTATAGTGTTGAGTTTGGTGTTTTGTTGTTTCCAAGTATTGAGCCATTTGGTATTGGTTACGTATTTGTGATTTACGTATTTTGATTTATTTAGACTGTTTGGGGACATTTTCAGTTTCCAATTTTATTAGTTTTTTTTTTTTTTATGAATATCAATAAAATTTTATTTGTTGGTTAAAAAAGGTAAAAAATGTATACAATTCTCCTGATATATTGTTACAGTATCAGTTGAAAAATATTAAAAATACATTGACACAATTTTTTTTTATAATTATTTAAAGATCAAATGTTGACAACATTTATCAAATTTAAAATTGAATAATTATTTTGTAGTTAAAAATTTATAAAATATTCAACTTTATATTATGTAAGGATTGAAAATTGAAAACTAGATTCCATGTAAGTAGTTAATTCTGTTACCAAAAAATCTAAAAAATACACAAGCACAGTTTATTTTTATAGTCATTTTAAGTCCAAATTTGGACGAAATTACTTATCAAAATCAATATTAACGATTTTGGTTTATTGTTGTAATTTAAAAATATTATTAGGGGGTATATGAAACTGAAAAATCAAAAAAATCAAAATATTATGGGCTATAGTATAAGGAATAAGAAAAGTATGCTCAATGATAAGACTGTATATTTTTTATTTTACCATTGATATGTATATAATACGTCTTAAACCTAGACTGACATACCGTCTCCGCTCAGAATCGTTTTTTTTATACAATGGTATTATATCATTGAATTCAAATTTAATACCATCCATTATACAGTGACCCACTTGTAACCTACTGTACAGCAGAGCACCTTTTTAATATTGTTTTTATTTTCGTTCTCGACAAGTGACGCTCGATATACAGACGAAATTGCTTATTTTTTTGCGCTCAAATGCCTATGGCAACGGACGGTGCCAAACCCTAAGTACATTGGATAATGGATATAAATGAATAATAATATATTCAAAGATGGTCAAGTTAATAAAAGTAATTAAGTAAATTATATAATAAGTTTAATGAAGAGAAATTCGCTAAGTTAGAATAAATTGTTAAAAAAAATAAATAATTAATTTAACTACCCGAGTTAAAGTTCAAATGAAAATAAAATATTAATTTAACTCAGTATAAAAAAATGTTAAGTATCTACATTTTTAATTAGTAACACTTCGACCACATAAATAGTTTTTTGTGTACCTATATATTATATGTAAAGTATTATTTTCTCAAGAAACAGAACCAAATATAAAGTATTATTCATTAAGTTATTTTTCTTTAAAAACCGTGTTTAGTTGGCAATTAGAGTGCCTATATACACATTACATAATTACCAACAAACCAACCAACCATTTCAAAAACAGTTTTAGTTTTAACTTGATGGATTATTTTTAAAATAATTGTACAAATCTAAGTTAGGTACTTTAATAGTCAATTTAAATAGTCGAATTCTTTAGTCAATTAAACAAATGAACTATTGAAGTTAAAAAGTTAAAAACAAGTAGGTATACCTAAGCTTGATAGCTTAACTTAAACTTTTAAGCTACCTATTCAATGTCCACGGTGATTATAATATAATTTGGACTCCCATCAAATGTTGAAACTTTAAATTCGTTACAGGACAATTTATTATTTTATCGTGTACCTACCTACAGAGTTATGTTACACGCATTAGTGTAATACATGCACTTATACATCATCCCGAGCTACACGTGTGCAAATACTGCAAACGCAAATTCACTAATGAGAGCTACTTTTATCAGGCGCACATGTCGAAATTTCAATACTCTTGTTAAGTTTATTCGTACCGGTAGGCAGGTAAGTCAGGAAGTGCATCTCGTCAATGAGATGGTTTTCCTGTATTTAGTACAATATAGGTATACCTACCTGCAGTTGTATCACTTTGACAAAGGTTGGCAAGTTAATGAAAATAATTAACTGTTGCAAGTTAAGTTAATTCAATTAAATTGCCTCCAATAAAGTTAAAAGTAAACAAAAAAAGTTTTTTTCAAGTTACAATATTTTTAAGTCATAAACTGCCCTAGTATTTTGTTATACACAAACATTTACCAAGATGTTTAACACTGTGTAGACAATTTGATTATTATAACATATAAATATATATGAAATAATATATAACAAATAAATGACCAAAATCGAAAAAGAGTCAACGAATCAGTATTGTCTAGTTGATTACGCAAAAATAATTAACTAGTCAAGTTAAAAAGATAAAAAATTATCTTTTTAACAACTTATTGCCTACCTTTGGATTTTAAGTTATTTGAAACTTTGAGGATTTAAAATCAAATAACTCAAACAATAATATTGGCAATAAAAACTTATATACCGTCTCAAAAATTGTAAAAGCAATGCATTGCAAATACGTCATAATCGTATGCAGTAAATTTTCTTGAAATATTTGTATTTGTAGCAAATTATATAGGTACAATTTTTACTAGGCTATAACTATCAATTTATGTTGATATTTTGATGACTTCATTATCTTTTTTTTATTATTATTAATTAACCCGTGGAAACTTAGGCCATTGGATGGTTTTTAACTAGTGGGAGGGTACTCTAGGTTTTTTTTAAAAAGTGTGTTTTAGTTTGGCATAATTTTCAAGTGGGAACCCGTAGGTATCTTCCATGTGCGTTTGGGGGGGGGGGATGGTGTCCTCTCACTCTATACACCATGACTGCCCGAAGAGAAGTGCCGCCAGAGACCGAGGTTCGAACCGGCGACGCTGTGTGTAGCATCCGACACCTTAGTCCGCTCGGCCACTCCGTCCCCTTTATGTTTTTTATTTAAAACAAACTCAATACCGCTAAAAGACAATTTGGAAAACAAAATTGCTGTTTTAAAAATATTTGAATATAAATGCATATGAGACAATTTTATTTATTAGATTTGTTCACGCTTGTTATGGTTACCATTTCTAGACTTCTGGTATTTAAATTTAGAGGTACCTATGTACTAAAATAGCCTTAATTCGGTACCTATTAATACTTTTTCCATTCAATAGTTAACTCTTCATTCATTTATATATACTTACTTAAAATTGTATGTAGATTACCTACTATATTAAGATTGAAATTACTATTAAATTTCGTATTTTTTATTTAAATTTTTCTTGATCTATTCAGATTTTTCTATTAATATTAGATTTATTTTCAACAAGCCCTTTTTTATTCAATATTTTTTATTCTATTGACTATTTGGATTGTTTCATTTAAATTAGAATTAAAACAAATAAATTTTTATATTTACAATTTAAATCGAAAATGTTGTACTTATGTGTTTAAATGGTAACTGTTAATTGGTTACAGCTTACAGATTATAATATTAACTTATAGAAGAAATTTTTAGTAGAAAATACCTGTTTTTTTCTTAATGATTGCATTTGGTTACATATTATATTGATATTATAATTAGAAGAAATATGGCTTATATTAAACATTTTGTACTGAAAAAATATTTACTAAAACAACAAATACGTGGACAACGTCGGGTGGGACAGTTTGTAATTTTATACAATCATAAATTATTTCTATAACCTGCAACCTACTCTATAATAATATAAGGGCCTATAATATTATATTATAATCAACAATTGTTTCTATCGTATCCATTGGCACAAATAGCATTTGAGATTTAGGGTGTTGAAGCACAACTTTAAAGTAATATTCAATAGGATTGAAAAAAATTCAGGTACTGCATGAGAGTTGACATTTTTTGAGCTTAGCCCTTAAAGCCTCCTTTTTGCATATATGATTCTTTCTAATAATAGGTACATCTAAGTAGAGAGAAATGTATAATTATTATTTATCGTATCTTTAAGTATGTCAGTGTCTTGACTAAACACACATGAGTTAAGGGTTTTTCAGTTTTCGTTTCCAAAACACATAAAAAGGATGGACAGCACCTCCAGGATCGGTATTATCTCTATGATGTTGGTCTTAGGTCCTTTGGTTGATTTAAAAACAAAAATATAAACCACACATCATTGTTGAATCAATACATCCATCGATCAAATCAAAGTCTAAAATAAAATATGTACATCAACAATTTATGAATAAACAAAATTGCTAAAATAAAAATTAAATGTTATACCAAACAGTATGTTAGGTACCTATATACAGGTAATGAAAAATAATTTAAGTTACTGTAACAAAATTAGGTACTTTTAAATTACCTATATTGACATATCGAAATTTTGTCTATTGACATATGACATTTGGTTATTTAGTTACATTTTATTGTATAAATACGTGATTAAAGTTAGGTACTTTTTTCCCTTTTTTGTAGTAAACCTAATTAATTTGTTTTTTTTTTTAATAGATCTTAAATACCAATTGATAACATATGAAAATATATCATATAAGTTCGTTTTTAAGACAGTTTATCTGCATATATATATTTGTGTAATAGTTATTTTACAATGGAAGTATTATTTTTGATGTGGAATTCCGAATTCCCATAAAAATATTACTATTGGAAAATTACAGTGTCTGTTAATAATTTCATATTATTTACTTTCATTACTTACATCATCAACGTAATTACTAAGCTCCAGTGCCCAGTGATATATATTATATTTGGACATAAAATAAAAGTAACTATAATTTAATATTTATTGTAATTCAAAAACTGACGTAATTTGAGCAAACAAAAGTATAACTTCCCCAACACAGTTGACAAGTTTATTATCGTACATGCATATAATATATAATAATATATAATTGTGCTTAGTGATCATATTATATAAAAAACGCGGATGAAACAGAATTTCGTTTTTTAATTAGGTACCAAAGTTGGCAGAGGAGCCAAAGGCAATGTGACTCAGTTCATCAACGATGTGGGTAAGGTATCGACTTTCGTAGCCACAGACGACGAGCTCACCAATTCGATATCCACGATAATGGAAAAGTTAATGAGTAACCCCAAAGTGAGCGCAGCCATGGTGCGTTTGGTGCTCACCGTTTTGGACGGCAGTCCGTCCACGTCATGCTTGCTAGACCAATTGCCGTTGTCTCCCCAAGATGTGCGGATGGTGTTTGATGTATTCGTGGGCAGCAACGGACAGATGATGTTGAAAACCATTGCGGGGCTGGTGTCAGACTTGACCACGGGACCAGATACGAAAGCGTTTTTGGAATCGGCCTTGGGCATGATGTCCATGTTCAAAAGGTATACACCGTAGTTGTAATAAATCACCGCCTGACGTCGTATTTAATTCGGTCTTGTCCTACTTGATGGTAAAATTACCAATAGAGGTAGTTTGCATGTGGGAGTGCACGGGGCCGGTTGGTGTTCTGTGCAAGGCTCGTAACTAGGTATTTACAGACGTTTGTACTACTTCAATTTCTGTAAATTCTTCATATTTATTTATGATGTGTAATGTGTATAATAGCATAATATACACTAAGCAATTAAGACGTATATGAGTATATGACATTGCTATTACTATTTTACTACAGTAGGTAATACCAAAGACACAAATAAGGGTATTCATGGCCCATATGGGTAAATCTCAAAAATATCGTTTATGGTTTACAAATGTGAATATAAGTGTATATTTTGCAGTATTGGTCTATAATTAGAATGATTTAAAAAAAAGTCAATGGTGAGTATACAAACCCTGACATCTCCCCTAGACACGCCACTGATTGTGGGAGGGCTTCAGCCTTACGTCGCAATGCAAACGGATACAGCGAACCTAAATGGATGTAATTATAGTCGCTTACAATATTAACAATAAGATGGCTTATCTGTCTGTATATTATAAAATCAATGGCTTAATCTTTACCGGAATAAAAATTAATATTACAAAACAATTACAAATAAAGATGATTTTTTTATCTGTGAAAAACATGTAAATCAACATTTATTAACTTTTGACCATTAAAATATACGCGAGCTCCACCGATATTATTTTTTAACCAATTGTATTTTTAAATTTAAATATTTAAACTAAAACTAAATTAGGTATATTATGATGACACACATTTTCTTTCCCAACTTAAGGCTAAGGGCCTAAGGTATAATATTAATAACAAAACTCGTTCAATGTCATAAGTCATAACTCATAGAAACATCGACTATCATTTTTGTTGTTTAAATGATACCTAGTTGATTATTTTCTTATTATCTTGTAGATTATGATAGTAATACATTTGTAAAGTTGACGTTCTATTGTGATACGACGCGTATGAAGTATAATACTTAATTTTACAATCTATACCTACCTAATGATAGTTGGAAAATTAATTTTTTTTATTATAATTATAAATTTCAATAGAGTTGATCATTGAAATTTTTGATTCTGATTTTTTTTTTACAATATTGGCGAAATTCACTTTAATTAATTATCGATAGAGTTTACATTTATTTTTGTAAAAATTTAGGTATGGAATTTAAATAATTAATTTAGTTTTGGCTCACAAAAAATGAATATTTTTTGTTTATTTAAATGGTTGCCAGTTAGTCTTATAGATTATATTATTATTATAATAAATAAATAAATTACTTAGATATAGGTAATATTTACAATTAATGTTAACAGATATATTGAAAATAAAAAACAAAATATCTTAAAATCAAATATTTACGAACACAATTATAACGATTACTTTTAAGATGTTAAAAATTAAAATATTGAGTCATCGTTTGAAAACAGATAACAAAAACTTTAAATTGATAGATTTAACCAAGCATGTCAGTTTATTGAAAAAATTATAAGAATTATTGTTATTACCTACCTAATACAATATACCTATTATTGAATTAATTTTGATCGTAGTAAAATGATGTTTTATAGCACATACGACATACCTGCAGATAGGTACCTAATAAACATGTAGATCATTTTTTATAGATTAATAAATTGATTAGTTTTCTTGATTCTGGCATATTTTTTATGTAAATGCATAAATGCATTTTTTATGTAAATACTAATCTAACGATTTATTGATATTTACATCATTTTTAAGAATTCGTTGAATCTGTCTCCAGTGTATTGTGTTAAACCAAAACGGAGCCCAAACGAAAGTTAGAATAATTTTAACCTAGGTGAATTCTAGTAATGAAGCTGTACCCACCTAGATACCCATCTTATAATATATTATAACAGGCATACTATAATATTATGTGAATAGTGAATATTTTCGAGATATTTTTTATTGAACACATTTATAAGCATATCAATTTTGTTTACATTGTTTATAGTTTTTATATTTCCTAACTGAATTTCAGATAATTTAAATAAAATATCGAAAACTATTAGTAGCTTTATCTAATACAATATCATATGAATCTTAAATATTTTCGATTTTACGGGTCTACGTTGATAACTGTACGCCCGTGTTATGATATTTCCCTGGCATCAACAATTATTTGTAATACATTCATTGGCATAAAATATATGTATAAATATTACCTATACAAGTATAGAGTAAAAGAAATAGCAAACGACTGTTTTTTCAACAGAGCATTTTTTAAATTGTTTTTCTAAATATAAAAATATTGTAAGAAGTTATTAATTGTTGTTCGAACATTCCACAAGATTTTGTAACCATTTAGTAACGCAATTTAACTATGATAACTTTTTAAACTTCACCCCAGTACCAGAAATTAAAGATTGGAATTATAAACCTCCTTGTAAATTACAAAAAAGTTATCAATATTATAATTTGTCTCAAAATGGTTACAAAATCAGAACTAGGGGTGTTGGAACAGAGGCGTAATTAAGGGGTGATTAGGTTGATAGATCAACCACAAAACTTTTTTTTTTACTCCTAACATTTTTATTAAAGTATTGATAATGACCATTCGTGTTTGCTAAAAACGTATATCCCCCCCCCAACCAAATTATTAATTACGCCACTGTACTGGAATGACGTAGCTAACAAAATTGGATAAGAAAATATTTTAGTTGCCTAGGTCTGATTAGTCCGAAATACAGATGAGATAAGACATGCAGAAATACACTAAATACCTATTCATTGGACACGTCATTAAAATATACACGTTATGTTTAGACGTTTTACTTACAAAATAAACTTTCACGACCGATTGGTACAGTAAACTAAACAATCTACAGGTGTTATTCATATTATGATCACTTATAGTTCTTTTTTTTACAATTTGTTCCAGTGACACTTCAGTACCAGCCGGCGCTGGTAATTCGGAGAAGCCGACGTCTATTGTTGGTTCACTGACTGATTTCTTTACGGGTGGTGACGAAAATGAAGAAGATGATATTGAAGATTACACCACTGAAAATACTAAGCCATCGATAAAGGTCAATAACATAAAAAAAGGCAGCAGTGGTAATGTATCGAAACCATCTGTGAAAACATCAGCCAAACGTAAGCCCAACGATGACGATTGGTTTAGTAAAACCGAAACTACGATCGAATCACCAAATAAAAAACCCAAACCTAACGAAGACGATTGGTTCAGCAAGACCGGAACCACAACTAATTCGTTACCAAAAAAACCAGCCAACCCCAAATCAGACGATTGGTTCGAGACCAGTCCCGCCAATGGTGTCAGTAAAAAAAAAAATCAAGTCATTAAGAAAGTAGAGACCGATGATAGTGACAGCACAGGCTTTAGTGATGAATTAAAAATCAAAAAACCCAAACCAATAAGTATAAAGACAGACACAACTATTGTTGCCAAAATGTCAAACTCTGCAGATGATGATGACGGTTCATTCATAGAGGAAGATGACTAATAATAAGAGAGTTCATCCCCCTCTCAGTTTGCAGACTCACCTAAATAAATATAACTATATTGCATATCTTGACTTGTACTTCTTATTTTGTAAACAATAATAAAACATAATCCATATTATTATACAACAGCATCACAATAACGCGCACCACATAATATTGTACATTATACATTATACATATGTACACAAACTACAGATGAGTCTGTATACAATTGCATTTACCTGCAAGCAGATCACCCTATTATTTTTCATAAATAATGCAGTTATTCAAAATCTAATTTTTTAATTTTTTGATTTATGACCATAATATTTTTAAATTCTTAAGATTTCATAGCAACACGTGGTGGATTGGATAGTCCATACCATCAGAAAAAAAAATTGTCTTCAACCAATGGTGACACTAATAATGTTTAAACAGAATATTATTCGATTTACTGAGCCAAAACAAAATTCAAGTGAGCCACTATATATAGCAGGAGTCACCAACTGGCGGCCCATGGTCCGCATCCCGACCGCAGACACGTTTTTTACGGACCCTAATGGCTGCGTAATGATAAAATATATAATATAGTTTTTACATTACATTTGTATAATACAATAACGAATAAAAATATTTTTTGATATTGTGAGTATGATATACAGATATAATATATATCATATAACTATATAAGTGTCTCCTTCACCGAGCGTTACATTAAAAGCACATAGGTGCAAAATATAATTCAGAGGAGTTGACTGATAAGTAAGTACGTTGGTAACGTTAGACGTCACTGCGTAATCGTATGTCAAAAAAACGATATCTAAGAATTTCCAAAGTACGTTTTATTGCAATTTAGTAGGATTGTTATTATTTGTTAATGTGTGAAAAAAGTCATTACGTATTTAAATATGTTTTGGACCGTGAGAAGTTTGGTAAGTTTCAAAACGGACCCCTGTATAAATTAGTTGGTGATCCCTGCTATATAGAAACCTTAGGGATTGAAAAACAAACTGAATTCATTCACAGAGTCTCAAAAAATCTATTGAATATTGACGTAACTTTCTTTTAAATCGTGCAGTATTTTCTGTGACTAGCCTTAAGTAGAAAACTGATTTCACCTTTATATACATAGAATATAGATAATATATTATTGTATCGTACATAAATGGATAAACTTCCATCTATAATCTAGAGTCTCACCAACTACTGGACAATTTTCAATAAAAGTTATACCTAAGGATTTCTTGAAACTTGGAGGGTGTTTAATGTTTACAACTTATTTTTGAAACACTATATAGTAATATAATATAAAAATATCACCGTCGTAAAATTGAATCTCAGAAAAATGTATAGGTAATAAAAATAAGTACAAAAGTTTATCAAACATTTTAAACTTTTCAAATAGGTAGGTATGTATAGTTACACAAATATATTTGCACGAGTTTCTAGTGTATTGAAAGTTAGACTATTAAACTAACACCTAGTACTGTAATTAATTAATTAATTAATTAATTAATTACCTGTAGTAATCACATACAACATAGGTATAGGTACCTACGTAGTAAAAGTACTTTATACAAGTAAAATATAGAGATAGAGTTTTACCACCGTATATAAATTATTGTATACCTATTTGATACAATTTGTTATGCTTATGACTATGGTATTATCAAAAGTATCTTTAATAGCAGGGGTGGAAAATCTATGGATGCCAAAAGTGGTATGTAATCCAAATTTCAACGGTACACAAAAATGTTTTTATAAGGTACCTAAGGGCTACGATGTTAAATCTTATATTTAATGAAAAGGAAAAATAGTTAATATCTATTATTTCTAAGTACCTATGGGTAATAAATAGTTAATGATATATTATTATAAAATGTTTAAAATTAGTCAATACTCACTTCCAAATACATTTTGTACTTTGTAAAAAGTGGCTCATTCCATACAACCCATTCCGGCAACAATTTGAAAATTGATTTTACAATTTTACACAATTAATTCTATTAGAACAGAGGAATAATATATTGACCGACGATGCTGTAATATGCTGCTTGTTTAATTAAAACTAAAGCAATAAATAGCCACCATAATAATATCGTCATCTGATTTTTCCATTACAATTATACAATATAATACGTCACAATAAACGAATAAGTATCAAAAAGGTGGGTAAGTGGATGTCACTCTGCTGTACAGTAGGTTACAAATGAATCACTGTATAATGTATGGTATCAAATTTGAATTCAATGATATGATATCATTGTATACGAAAAACGATTCTGAGCGGTGACGGTTTGTCAGTGTGAATATTTTATATTATATTTATATTGTTAATATTACTTATTATTAATACAGTATAGCCGTTAAGTTGAATAATTAATATTATGAAATTACAACAAAATAACTAAAATAGTATTATTCTTGATTATTTAATATGTAATTCCCTCCAAATTTGAGGGTAAAATAACTATATAAAAAAAATTTGTTTTTATTTTTTTGAGATTTTTTGGTTACAGAATAACGTACCTACGTGAAACCATTCAATCCTAAGCTATAAAAGTTAAACATTTTATACATTTTTAGCTAAAAATCATTTTTAAATTTGATAAATTATGTCAAAAATCGAATTTTAAATAAGTAGGTAAGTACTAATAAAAAAAAAAAAAGTATGTGTGCAGCTTAAGACCACACGACAGAAGTGAAAACTTCAACAAGGCGAAATTAATAAAACGAAACACAAGTTTTTTGCGTTCTATAACATAGAAAATACATAGAAATACTTCATTTCTGACTTTTACCACCAATTCAAAAGAATATCTATATTAAATGCTGCTGGTAGGTTTCTGAATTTTTCGTAGTATTTGAAATATGTTAAAACATACTTGGATCCGTTGATACGCTGTCGAGTGCGACAGAAAATCGACAATGAATAGGCAATACCCTGTTCTCTATGTCTCTGCTTTGTGCCGTCCTTCGCCTGCCCCTACCAACTTCGTGAGTAAGACTGAAATATCGAATGAGTGTAAGAGAGAGGCAATAAGTAGAGAGAAGGACAAAGAGAGCTATAGAAAAAATCAAAAAACAAATCATAATGTCACTTGTAATTGTATAACGATCTTAAATAAATAAGTAATTCAGAGTTATGAATAATAATATACTGGCATATCGTATGCATGTAAATAAACATATTATACGTCGAATGTCGATGTACACCGAAACCATACAAAATAGATTTCCGACAACTTCGCCGTGTTGAATGTGACTAATAGACGTGTTCAATTATTTTATAGTTTAAGTAATGTATAATAGTATGCAGCTAGCAGGTAAACGAAATAATAATTGAAAAATGTAAATTCCTTGAATTATTTTCGTGAAAATTTGGAGTGAAAAGTACCCCAACTACGGGAAGACTATTTAGAGGATCTCGAAACAGAATTTTTGGTGGTAAAACGAGGGACCCAAGTCGAAAGGCGACAGAGATATACTTAAATCAAATAATAATAATAATCACTGAATAACCACGTATAAAAATAGTCGACCCGAGCAGACTTCACCCGAATGAGCGTTTCACATCAGTTCAATTCAGTACCCACAAAAAGTGCTAAACGAGCCTAAAGAAGTTTTCACTTCGAAAAATAGTGCATAATATGTATTTTTAATATTTTTAAACTGCGTATTTTCACGCTTTTTGGCCCAACAAATAAAAATTGATTGGTATTCATAGAAAAAAAAGGGAAATTTGAATTTGGTTGTAAACAGCTCAAAACAAGTCTAAATATTTTGAATATTGTATAAAATATAGGAATTGATAAAATAAACATTCAGTAAAATGTTTATGTAGGTATCTACCGTTATTCGTTTTTGAATTACAACAATATAAGAAAATCGTTATACATAAGAAATCGATTGAATATCCAATGTTATGTAATATATGAACTTCAAACGGTCATAAAAATTTAATTTGACTTGCTTGAAGATATTATTTTTTTTTTGACAAACTTATGTAAAATCTTGTATTACTTTTTCAAATCTTAGATTTAAAAATAAAAATTTGTATGAATTGTTTACAATAATTTGCACATTTTTTATGAATTTTACGTATTTTGTCAATATTTGAACTTTAAACTTAAATGCTTATTAAAAAAAATTGGGAATATGGATTTTTAATATTTTTCTTCTGTCTTTGAAATAACAATAATATATTAAAATCCTTCTATTAAATTTTCAAGTTTCTTACCCAACAAATGAAATTTAATTGATATTTATAGAAAAAAAACTAATGAAATTGGAAACCGAAAATGTCCGTTAACAGTTCAAAACAAAACAAAATATTTTGAAAATTTTATCGTGTATAGAAAACGCTAATATTATAAGCAATCAGTGAAAATCTCATGAATGTACGGTAATTTCATTTCTTTTAGAGTTACACCAAAAACCAAAATCAATTTTGTCGAAAACCGATTTTGAGTAAAAGTTCCCAATTTTCCTTAATTGTTCTTTTGTTTTTCACGGCGCTTTTGAAAAAGGCAGGGAAATTTTACTTTTGACCCCCTCAAAGTACCAACTAGATTCATTTTCCTATCAGAAAATATACTGTTGAAGAAAATCTAAGCACTTTTACTGGGTGATGGCAGACACAAAAAAGAAATGAAAAAAAAACACCCATATCATTGTAAAATCAATCGCTTCGCAAAGAATCTAAAAAATCAAACGTTTGTAAAATACATTGTCAAATCACGTATAGCAGTGTTGAGGGAGTAAATAGTTGTGTTAAACTTATATTATTATTCAAGTAAAATGGATTTGTAATAATGAGTGCAATAGAGAATTTCGACATCGCGAAAGTGGCTACCTCGAAATTAATCAAACACAAATTATATATTATAAATTATATATACAGCGTATATACCCATATATTTCGTTAAAATATAACGTTCATTTATTGATCAGTTAAAAACAAATTACTTAAAAACAAATTAGGTATTATTCAAACATCTTACGCACACACGATCTCATAGTGAAATGTTGATGAGTCGACCCGCGACGGTGAGCTTTTGATGTCAACGACGATTGATATTTAATACAATTGTGGTTCACACACGGACTGATTTTCGGTGGTCGAATTATTGTTAGGTATATCGTCCCCATGACTATAATAATGATATGATAATATTATTACACCTCATCGACAGTCATCGTAACTTTAAAAAATAAAGACGAAACCTTTTGGTGCATGCTGTTCAAGTGGAGGAGGGATGGCTTCGGACCTGGCTGTTGCTATCGTACCGACGGAACCAACTGATCTCCATTCGAACAGACCTGGGCCGGAACATGGAGTACGCGTTGGGAAAAGCCGAGGTGTGACCCTCCTTCAGGGCTGTACTCCAGAAGACCGGCTTCGTCCTGCTCTTGGTCCGGGCCCGGTGGTTTCCGTCGAACCACGTGGTGATCCGGTATAAGAATCCCGGTGGTCGTGGGTTGGCTCGATATTCCCGAGTGCTCCTCTGCACCATGAACAGTCCCGTCTGGATCCGAGACCTCGTCCCCCTGGACACCAGCACCCACATCATGTCGGACGCCGAACGGACCAGGTACGTCCGGCGCTGGTTCCTAGTAATTGTGTGGAGGTCGGTCACGTTCAGCCGGTTTGTCTGAAAAAGACGTGGAAAAACGGTGTTTTTTTCGGTTAACATAATATTATTGTTTATACAGTGCACGAATAACAGTAACAGTTAGGAAAATATGTATTCTAAAACAATCACAAAAGAAAAAAAGATTTCTAGTAATACGACAGCAATATTGAGCGCGTTGGCTTCTAGTGGGATCGATCCTCCGGTCTTGAGTTGTGTGCATGATAATTTATTATAAAGTTGCAGCACAGCTGTACTATTTACAATCGTGGTATACATTAGTCTTAGATAATAATTTTATCTAAAACATTAGGTTTTGAATATTTTTGATAAGACCATATTATTATGATGGACACATAAATACATAGCCGCAGTGTTCGGATTAGATAAGTATTTACATATCTAGATAAAGATAAAGATAATGTAACTCAAATGTATCTAGGTAAATATAAAAGATAACTTAACTCATATTTATCTAGATAAAGATAAATACTTTATATCTAGATAAAAAAAGATACAATTTTTTTTTAATGGGTTTTAAGTTTAGTTATATTTTAGTTGGGCACTAGGAACATGATAATATAAATAAAAATAATTACAGTATTTATAATCCATAAACTTGCTTCGAGAATCTGTATAAATATTTAACATGCGTTTTTACAATTTCGCGGTTTTTATCAATAATAAATGTATCTAGATGAATTCATTTGGTTAGTAAAAAAATTATCTTAGATGAATGTTTAGAATGTTTAGATACCTTGTAACTATTTGTCTAGATAAGATAAAAGATGAAAAAATATTTATCTATAAATTCATCTAGATAAGTCCGAACACATAGGTAAAGAAGTGCGACCATACTAGCAGTGAACTACAGTCATAAGTACACTGCGCGTAGAGTGTCGTGTATCGATATCGACATATCGTCATATTAATATTCCAGAAATTCGTTAGTCCATACCGGTAAAGAAATTTGTTTGCTATCCGGCTTAAAATATTTGTTATATCGTTATAATTTTTCCGACCCACCTGGCGAGCTGAGGTCAAAACAGTTGTACCTACCGGTATAAATGTGTAATCCCCACAGATATATACAATAATTTTGTTATTGTATATATCTGTGGTAATCCCCTCATTTCCTTTTGCATATCACAACTTATCACAACTCTTATCATGTAATATTATGATAACATTTATAGTTCTTTAATAATTAAAGATTAATTAAAAAGATTGATTTATTAATTAATTAGTAATTATTACTAATTAATGCATTGTTAATTATTTTGTACCTAAAAATGACTTGTTATACCGGTATATACCGATTTGGTATACCGGCATAAACTAAAAGATACCGGTGTAATTATTTATGTGTACCGGTTTAAATTAACGAATTTCTAGATTATTAATAATAATATTATCGTTACTGAAGATTCAACGGTGACACCAGGGTGCACGTTGAACACGTGTTCGTACAGCTGTTCGTACATGCCCACCCACTGGCACACAGGGACCAGACACGGCACATCCGGCAGGTACCGACACACGGACTCATGTTCGTTAACGTATCGAACGGGAACCAGATCGGGGCACCCGAACGACCGGTTTGAGCACGCCACCTTCACCAACGGAGTGGCCTCAGCCAGTTTAATGACCATGGCCGACATGCTCTCGGACTGCACCATCGACGTCCGGCACAGCGGGCACAGGGTGTCGGTAGTGCTGGTGTTCAACAGCGTCATCGTGCACGACTGACACATGGCGTGCCCATTGGGGCAGAAGCACGACATTTCAGACATCATGGTCAGACATATTGGGCATTCCAGGGCGCGACGGATCTGCAGGGAGATGGCCATGATCTCGGTGGTCTCCAGTGGCAAAATGGAAGCCGCCGCCGACACAACCGACGGCGGCACCGCGGTTACCTCTGCAGTTGATGCGGCCGCGGCCACCACCGTCTCCGTCGTCCTCGCAGTCGACGACTCAGCCGCGTCCACCGAAGTAGTCGCCGTCACCACCAGAGATGTCATCACGTTTACGTGTCAACCACTGCTGCAACAAGAGATACGTGGCAATGTAGCCGTCGGATTTTCGTCTTACGTCACGTTTACGACAATTTATCTCAACACTGTAATATATTTTACTTGGCAATGCGGATCTCATCGTTTTGTTTATTAAGTGTATTACAGTTGCATGTATTTATTATCAACAATCTGGTCGTCAAGAAATTTGTTTGTCAATGAAATTACATATTTTTTTCAAAAAACAGGTGAACGATATATATATTAAAGATAAATAACTACAACTGGTTTGTATGAATTTTAAGTTCAAATGTTGACAAAATGCATCAATATCATGAATATTTGCAAATTATTTTGTAGTTAAAAAATTATAAAATGTTTAACTTTTATAGCAAAGGATTAAAAATGTATAACAAGGTTTCTTATAAGTAGTTCATCCTGTATAACCAAAATATCAAACAATCTCTTCAATAAGTTTTCATCTTCTACTGGAACTGCTGGGGCATAACCAAACAACGCCTCGAACTTCTAGACATAGTTCTAAGAAAAAACATCGACATTTTAATCCTAAACGAAAGCCCCCTTAATAATGGACCTATAATAGGGCTTTCAAAACAATTCAAATTATTCAAAGATCTGGGAGGTTCCGGTTTCAGTATTTCAAGTTTCCGATTTGGATAGAATATAGTCTATACATAAATATACAGTATACAAGAATAGTTACGAATAAAATAGGTAGGTAGGTACCTATATTTAAAACGAGTTTGTTTACGTTATTACTTTTTATATGCACATTAAAAAAGAAGGGGAGAGGTAAAAGTAGGAAAAATAGAAAATAATCGTGTGTAAGAGCTGTATCCGTTTGCTACTTATAGGGACATAGGCGTGCGCAGACTTAAATTTCTGGTCGAGCCTGGACAAATTATAGTGTCCTAATATTTGGACAACGCCTCTAATTTTTTTTTTAACACACCAACTTACATGTTGATGTATTAACCTATTAAGTATTAATGTCTATAGTACTATAGTTATTGTATTTGTATAAAGGTATAATGTTTTTTTTTTAGATTAATAAAATGTATGTAGTGGTTGGGTTAGGTAGGTTACACACAAATATTTTTGATTTTTTTATACTTTCACGACAAACAAAATTTTCATGATCTCCACGAAAGCATTATTATAATATAAGCATTATAATAAAATATTTAAATATATACGCACATTTTACTATGCCCCTAAAAAGTTTCAGGTCAAGCCTGGGCTTGACCGGCTCGCCCCGTGCGCACGCCTATGTATAGGGATTTAAAAAATAAGTTATACAAATCCTTGAAGTCTGAAGAAATAGGTATACTGATATAACTTTTTTTAACAACGGTCCAGTAGTTTTTGAGTCTATTAACTTCATAACTTCAAACCTATATCCGCTATTATATATTACCTTGTAGGTACCTACCTACATTTCTAGCTGTTCCGCCTAATATTATCCGTGGTAAAAAGTTTTTTTTTTTTTTAAATATAATTTTAAATAATTTGAATGCCATGTTTTTACTAATTGAAATAGTAGGTAATGTAAGATAATATAACCAAGGGTGTCTACTGTCTAATTAAATAAACTAAAATAATATTGGTTTTTCGAAATCTGAAAAAAAAATGAATGGTGACGTACCTTTTAGCTATAGAGCCCAATAGAGGTTGAAAAAATTTTAAAACCTTCTCAGTGATATTATACTCTAGCTGTAAAACCCGACTACGACAGGGAAATAACTAAAAAACATTCAGTGATTGTGAACTGTGTAACTCAGTATGTATCGTAAATATTTTCATACATTTTTTCTGCTTACAAAAATTGTATTTATAGGATAGCCATTGGCTACAGATAATTATTATCATGACAATCTTGACAACTGGCAATGTTAGCCTATAATTAAACGAACGAAAAGAAACAATTGACAACATTACACAAAATATTATGATTGTGTTCAAATAGTAAAAATTAAAAAAAAAATGTTTACAAGATTTTTACATTTTCCTAAGTAGGTATATACAACAGTTTTTTCCATCAGTGGAACACAATATAGTAACGCATTTTAATGTTCTTTGCACAAACGATTAAAATTTATTACGCAAGGGAGATTTAAAAATGTTATGGTTAAATAAAAAATTGCAAAAATTTTGTGGAGGTCGAGTGCTCTTAAAGCATTCGTGGACAAACGTGATGGGTGACCGTCGATGATACACATCACAATCATCAGATGATATATGGGATGTATCCAGAGTAGATTTGTGAAGGAAATGGTCCACCCCCAACTCGTGGGTCAAGTGGGCCGGGGTGGATTAACGGCTTGTTTGTTTTATAGTTGCCATACGGCTTTTTCGGACGTTTGTCACACGACAGACCTCCGAGCGTAAAGTGATCGACTGGTCGTATATATATGACATTCGGTCAGCCACCGATAAGCAGGAGAGGCGGCGAGCATCCGTTTCTAAGTTTAGCGATCATTGGACTTCGAACGTGCGCCGGAACGATAGATGGCGCTATCAGATCAGCTTCGTAAGCTACAGCCAATAATCTAAGACTGTGCTACAAATACATAGATTCAACTATCATATTAATTGTTATAACTATTAAACTATATAAGATATAAATTCTTTATTGAAAGTCAATAAGTCATAAACACTTCGATTTGAGGTATGCTAACTCTGAGAACAGGGCACTGAGGTATACCCTTTAACTAATAATAAGATATTAACATTCTAGCCATGTCTCAAGGAATAACTTTTTATTGAAAACGGTCCAGTAGACAGTAGTTCTTGAGTTTACTAACTTTGATAACGCGGGTTATAATAGGTAACCAAATACAAAAAATTATAAGTAAAAATTTTTATGTTTAATAATAAAAATAATTATACTGTATTATGTATTGTGTAACCAGTTGCAAACATTTATACAGATAAAAAAACTAATTTCTACTATTACTTACTACCTACCTATATTATTATAATATGTAACCAATGACAACCATATTTTATACCAATATACAAAATTTTCATGGAAAAATACCCAAAAAGTATTTGAGTATAAATACAAATACATAATTTTTTGTATATTAAAATTAGTATTTATATAAATACTTACTTAACATTATTAAAAATCTATAAATGAAATAATTAGTTAATACATTCTTTAATCGATTCAAGAATTTCAGATTTTAACTACATAATATGATATATTCACACTAGGCAGATATAAATTTTTAACTATTATATTATTGTGTCTTCTGCATACTTGATGAAATATTATAAATTTTAAATTATTATTTTAAGAGCAATTTTTAAAATATTAAATTAAGAAACATAAAAATTGGTCATTAAAATAAAACAACTTCAAACATTCATAAAAAAGAAACTTATAAGTAATCTTTTATTACACTTTTAAATCTTACATATAAAAAGAAAATTGTTTATGAATTTCTAACTAAAAAATTGGCACTTTGTCTCGATTTTGATGAATTTTGTCAAAGATCTAACTTAAAACACTATTAAAACAAATTGTGACTGTGCTTCTAACTAGGTAGAGGTAAGACATAAAGGCAAGACATAAACGGCCTTTAAATGGTAAACGAAAAAATAAAAATAATAATAATAATAATCAGCACATAAATAATCAGTTTTTTTATATTTACACACTCACACATCACGTAATACAATATAAAATAATAGTAGTAAAACGTCAATATTTTCTACAACAATCATATCAAATATTGTTACAAATAATGTTGTACAAAGTATAGTTATTATCGCTTTTAGCGTGAGAGCAGTACCTAAATAGTTAGTAGTAAATACTACACATAACATAATATATTATAATATTATAGAAAAAAATTACACAAATACATGATTGTATTAATGTGCATTCAATTATTATAATAAAAATAAAAAATAGACACTCATCTGGAATCCTCCCACGGTATAAATATTATAAATACAAATACAAATGTCCAAAAATCGTTGACGAGGACGGAAACGATAATCGTCGTCATCACTATAATATAAAATAATAATAATAATAATATGGCCACCACCGCCGTGGCGTTTTACACTATACTTAGGGCCAGTTGTATCGTCGTCTGTGGTTAAACTTCGATTAAGCTTAATCAGCTAATAACAGATATTTAACCGGGCTAATTTAGCCGATTAAACTCCGGTTAACTTTAATCAGAAATGGTACTACTGGCCCTTAATCATTTGTAACATGGTACATACGGTATAATATCCGTTAGCCGGCGAGACAATCTCGATCATCGTACCACACAGACTACATTTTAATATAAGCTCGTCATTCAATAGGTATCTTTTATGCGCCCACGGCTAATTTATACCTGTTTATTATATAAATGTTTATAATGTATAGTAATACAATAACAATACAATTAATAATAATGATAAAAATAACTAAAAACTGCTATTCACTACACTATTAGATAGGCACAACTGCATCGGGTTAATAAAATCAACACCAAAGATGACGACGACGATGGAAATTATGATAGTAATAACTAATAATAATATAGCAATAATAATAATATAATAATAGTTATAGGTAATAGGTACATAAAAATTATTCGCAATTAAGAACACGTTATTAATTGTGAATGCAGCGGTGGCGGCGTAGGCTTCGACAAGGACAAGAAAATAAACAATAATGAAAAAAATACGATCAAACAATGAAGGCGTGCGAGAAGCAGCGAGAGGAATGTCTCCGAGCAGCGGCGATAATGTCGGCTTTGGAGTTATGGTTGTTGAGCATCGGCAGCGGTTGAGGGCGGCGCTTTGAGCAACAGGTCACCATACTGGAGCAGAGCTTCGGTCAGCGAGTCCGTGACCTGAGGTGACGAACAACATTGTTGAGTGTACGGTACGCACCGCACGAGGCACGGGTAGAGTCTGATCAACTGGTCCCACACGGCTTTACTGACTGTCGAAAAAAAATAAGCAAAAATGTGAGTGAATTAGTCCAATGTTTTCGAACGCTAGAGACATTTAATGTGAGTTGATGATATGAGACAGATGCCGATCCAAAAAGGTAGAGGAGAAGCAAAGTTGGCATTTGCTCCATCAAACATAATATTGATCATAATTATACTGGAGTACTTTTATAAACATTGATTAGGGAAATAGTAAGTCAAGATTAATTCACCACATTTAAGATAAAGTTAATGATAGGATTTGAATAGAAATGGGTGAAAATGATGGGCCGCTTTTTTGGGAAGGTGGACTTATTGTATGCTGCATTGCAAGGACTAGAATACTATGGATATAACTATATAAGGACTTAAAAATTGATACATTGTCTACTGTTACATTACTCGCATTACATATTGTCTTAATAAAATTATTATTTATTTATTTAATTGTTAAAAATAACTGTTGGTTCTTACCTTTGTCGGGAGTTTTTTTTAACGACACGATGAGTGTGGCAATTGCTTTCAGGACAAACGATATTTCCGACATGCGATACCTACACAAAAAAAGGCATATTAATATTTTTAAACACTAAATAGAAAACCGTAAAAAATACAGTTTGTTTAAGTCATTTTTCTTGTTAGTATTTTTTAAAATACCATTTTAAGGGGGCTGCAGCCGGGTTTTGCATAGGGGAGACTTGCTTAATATGACATAGCACTTTTTAATTTTAAAAAAATGAAGGAAATAATGATAGTTAACACATGAAACTTGAGCAACATATTTGTATTTATATTATACACATATTTTTGAAGTCTAATTGTACATTTAATACAAACAAATAATTTTAATTCACTTTTTTTTAAATGTACTTACTATGTCATTTTACCCGGAGTGTCGGGTAAAATAGCATACACCATATTTGTATAAGCAAACATTGTATACTGGTCAATAAAAATAAATTATAAAATTTTTAGAATTTAATAGTTTAATGAATTTTTTTTACTATAAATAACAAAATTTTAGAAATATATTCAACATAATTAATATAATAATATAAATATGAAATCAATATAATAATAAACACTGCTATGTCATTTTGCCTGATATAATTCAAGTCTTTTTCAAAGTATTTATGGCAAAAGTATTATAATAAGCTTATTTATAAAAAAATTATAGTATAGCTTGCTTTTTTAGGTTCAACTTCGAATAAAAAAAATTAAAGGAACATAAGGTTTAATATTTCAAAATTAATTTTAAAAAATGATTTTAAATAATGTTGATAAGATAAAAAACATATTTTTGTTATAAAATTCTCTGATAAGGTCAAAACCGGTGATCACTGTATACAATTGTATGTAGGAGGTTATATGTAACGTATTTCAAGAAGATTTGGTTCATAAATATCAGTAATTCTAATCAAAACATCAATGTGTCATATTACCCTAATATGTCATATTAAGCCAGGCTCCCCTAAGTACTACAATATTAAGGAATTATAATTTATTATTAAAATGTATAGTATTTTGCATTTTATTTAAAATGAAAATGTTTAATTCTAATTTTTGTATTAATTACGAAACTGCAGACTTAATCAATTAAAATAGCTAACATTTTAGAAGTGCACAAGTTAATTTTCATTAAATAATAAAATAAGGATAAATTTTAAAGTTTATGTGGAACGTATACGAGGTTAAACCTTAAACTTATAGCGTGTAATTTAAATCTATTATGATTTATGGTTCGGTATATTGGTTATTGTATATCGACCTGGGCAATGGGCACTTTCCGGTCAAACTTTGATCGTGACAGAACTTCTCGACAACTTCTTGGAATCTGTGCAACAAAGCAGTAACAGCAAGTTTGCCGGTAATTAGTTCGGCGTCCGCGTTGGAATCGTTACTGCCACTGTTCACCGTGTTGTTATCCGTCGGCGGAGGTGATGACGACGATATGCCATCGACCAATGAAAACTGCAACAGCGTTTCAAAACAAACTTTGGCGAACTGTTCTCGCAAGAGTGATGGCGGTGAGAAACCACCGACGCCGGAGCCCGTAACGACACCACCAGAGACGCCTCCGTCACGGCAATCCACCATCATCATCGTATCATATCCTGTTATGAACACAACCAACAACCACGCCGATTAGTACACAAACACAAGACTGTTGAAGAGAATAGAGCACAATTGGTATCGTTTTAACAAATCATCGAACCACAACGTCTATATATATATATATATTTATTTATTTTTCATCTATTTCCAACGAAAACACGTACCACCACCGTAAGGATAGTTGGGCAATGTTGACGCGGTAGTCGTGGACAACACCGAGCCTCGGTTCAGCAACACCACCACTCGCATTATGAACTCCCGAGGTACGTTGGTTGACTGCGACAGTATTTCATCCTTCAGGAACTCCACCAGCTGACAGTCGATTATCACGGAATCGTTCTCGTCGTTGTCGTCCACCAATTTGTTGCTTTTCAACATAGCGGAAGCTGGGGGCAAGCTACACATATCACAACGGACCAAAAAAAACGAGTTAGGAACGAATAACAAAATAAAACATTTTTAAAATGTGCGTAACAATAACTGAGTGTGTACGAACTTTTTTGGGAACAATATGTCTTCCAGAACGGAACCAAGTGGTGACCAGATAGAAATATAATCGTCGCCAGCAGAGTCCCGAGCCAGCGGTACGCCCACGTTCAGCACGTTCATTAGGCCGACCACCAGTAGTTTCCATGTGTTTTGTTGCTGTTGTTGACGCCGTCGTACTAACGTGAGGTGCTGCTGTTGCTGCTGTTGGACGTGTTGTTGTTGTTGTTGCTGCGTACTTCCTGCCGACAAGGGAGTAACGTCCATATGGTAATGGAATGCCGGAGCTGGTGTCGGGTAAGAGGAGTATCGGCCTGCCAGAGGCACAGAAAACACCTGTGTACGAAATAATTATCAATCACGGAAGTTTAAATTGCAAAATGTATTTTAGCTCTTCGAATAATATTGAAAAAACTAAAATATATTAACTTATGATTATAAGTTATATATAAGTAATCAGAACACAGTTATTGTTTATTGGCAAAAATAGAAATTCTATTTAAGATCTACCAAGATAAAAATACTAAAAATAAAAATTTAATTTGTTGACATCATATAGAATACTTCCAAATAGTCTTATATTATAATATTCTGGATTTAGGTAAACTAAAGTACTTAAAGTAATAAATAAAAATGTTTGCATATATATTCGTTAAGATGTAATAATTAAATACGAATAATAAGAATACATTATTTATTTACTTTTATCATGCATTTGAAAATATATAATATGACATGTACATCAAATAATAAAAAAAATAAAAACATAAAATTGGTTTTATTTTTATTCCAAAACTGCTACAGTTTAAATTTTTAACTACAAAATTATTATTAAATTTTAAATGTGATACATTTTGTAAAAGTTAGAACTTTAAATACTTATAAAAAGAAATTGTGACTATATATTTTTAATAGTTATCAACTGACATTGTATATTAGAAGCCTTGAATTCAATTTTCAAGATTTTTGACCTAACGATTACAATTTTATTGACATTTATAGAAGAAAAAATTAAAATATTGGAAACTGAATATGTCCGGAAACAGCTCAAGACAAGTCAAAATGCTATCCAGTGAACATTTCATGTATATACAGTCATTTGTCTTACACCGAAAACTAAAATAGATATTTTCGAAAACCAACTTTGCGTAAACATTCCCATTTTTATTTTGTTTTTCTTGGCGCTTTTAAAAATTACTGGGAATTTTAAAAGAAAACCCAAGTAGTTTTACTGCCCCAAACGGTTATGATGACATACACACAAAAAAAAAACACACACACACATCAATGTAAAATCAATACATTCATCCGCTTAGAATCTAAAATATATTTAAAACATAGACAGCAGTATAGTGAATTACAAATGTCTATACGACACTGTCAATAACTTATAACTTATAAGTAGGGCTCGGATTTATATGTAAATACATATTTTTACTGTGACTTGATAAATTAATTTAGGTAAGTGATAAATTCGTTTCAAGGGATTTCCATTGTAATGAACTATATTTTATTTTACATATTTTGTCATAAGTACATATTTTTACATATTTCTCAATAATTAAATTTTTCCCTACATATTTCGACAATTTACGATTTATTAATAGTTGTATAATGTACAAATTATATATGTACGATTTCCCATGTTTCAAAAAGTACGTAAACAAAATAATACCAATTATTGAACTAATCGACCGTAATCTACGGTCGATATAATATTATATTCGACATTTGTTACCTCGATAAATGATAGATAAGTTATCTAAGATAACGATTTATTTATACGTGTTTGCGTTTGAAGTACTGACAGGTGACAGCGAGTCAGTATACCCACATCGACGAACGGGACGTGTGTTTATTTAGACGTGTAATTTTGAGTTGGCCGTGTTAGTGTTAAATTATGCCGAAAGTTCGAGTGTCCAAAGTTGGAAAAGCTAAAAACTATGTACTAGAATTTCCAAACGAACATTTTCAGAGCGATGGTGAGATTTTGTACTGTTCTGCGTGTGAAAAATCTGTTTCCATTGAACAACGTTTTTTAGTAGTACAACATATAGGGACCGCCAAACATAAAGAGAGTAAAATAAGACGACAAAAATTCAAACAGCAGTTTTTTACTTCCACCTGCAGTACTTCTTCAGGTAATAAAAACTCGTTTAATTCCGAACTTTGTCGTGCTTTTATACATGCGGATATTCCGATCTCCAAGTTGGAAAATAAATCATTGAATGCTTTTTTAACAAAGTATACGGGGCAATTAATTCCTGACGAAAGTACTCTTAGAAAAAATAACATGACAGAAATTTACCAGGAAACACTTAATTCTATTAGAAACATCATTGAAGATGGCCCTATATGGGTTTCGATCGACGAAACAGTAGACGTTGAAGGTAGAATGGTTGGAAATGTTATTGTTGGAAAATTAAGTGAAACCTTTTCTAAACCATTTTTATTAAATTGTACACAGTTAGAAAAATGCAACCACAAAACCATAGCCAAACTATTTAACGATTCGATGAGTTTATTATGGCCAAAAGGTGTAAAACACGAAAATGTATTATTGTTTTTAACTGATGCAGCGCCGTATATGGTGAAATCCGCAGTTGCCATTAATGTATTTTACCCAAAGATGATTCACTTAACATGCTTAGCTCATGGACTTCATAGAGTTGGAGAAACCATTAGAGCTAAATTTAGTAAAGTAGACAAGTTAATTTCTGAGGTAAAAAAAATATTTTTAAAAGCTCCAAGTCGTGTAGAAAAGCTGAAAGAAATGTATCCAAATTTGAATCTTCCACCAGAACCAATAATTACTAGATGGGGGACATGGTTGAATGCAGTAAAATACTATTGCGAAAACTTTGAAAAAATAAAAGATGTTGTATCAACGTTGGATTCTACTTCAGCAGTTTCTATTCAAAAAGCGAAACATTTATTAAATATAGATGATATTAAAAATAATTTAATTTTGGATTTTTAGAAGATACAATAAAACAACTAGAAACAAGAAAAATGACTTTAGTTCAAAGTTTAGGACTTATAGAAGAAGCTGAAAAATGCATAGAACAAGTACAAGGACCCTTGGGAGTTGCAGTAAAAGAAAAAATGCACAGCGTATTACATAAAAATCCTGGTTTAGACTGCCTAAAATTAATTAGAGATACACATTGCGAAATTAATGGGGTAATATTTCCGGCTGAACTCACTGCTTTGGACATTGCAAATATGAAATTTGCACCCATTACCTCAGTGGAAGTCGAATGCTCCTTCAGTCGGTACAAATCTGTGTTACGACCAAATCGTAGATCATTTAACTTTGAAAATTTGAGCATGTATATGGTATCTCATTGCTTTCAAGACCAAGATAGTCAAAATGAATAATGAATTATAGTAGTAAAATAAGTAGATTAGTTAATGATGTAATTTATAAAGCAATTTTTTATATTTTTTTGTAATTTTTTTATATTCCATATTTTCATTTTTTAATCACATATAAAGTGATTTATTATTACATATATATTTACATATTTTGGTTTTTATAATACATATAAATCCGAGCCCTACTTATAAGGAACTCAAATTATTATGTTTGATGTAGGGAGTACCCAATTAAATAATTAATGTCTTACCGCACACACCAGTTAAATTTAATTTACCTCAATGATTCGTCTCAGAATCTCGCCTTTGACAACGCACGTTTCGGCTGCTGTCATCCCATACAAATCAACAATCATGAGCACTGCTTTCTCACCAAACGCTACGTAATTCGAATCAACAGCCACCGCCGCTGCGAACTGTATTAAACATAGACCAAAAATTATAAAAAATAAAATATATATTACACACCAAAGATGAACACATACCTTATTGTGGTGGTGGAAGTGGTCGACCGCGGCTGCACCGTTTGCCATTTGCTGTCGATCGCCACCGCTGTTGGCTGCAGCAGGTGGTAGCGGAGGACACACGAAGCGACAAAACTTCAATAGTTGATCGAACAGAGGACAGAGAAATCTCTGGACCAACTCTTGTCGATGTTGCTGCTGCTCCATCGACATCATAGAGTTTTTCTTGTCGATGTAACCACTGTCACTACTTGGCGTCGCGTTATCAGTAGCATTAGATGTCGAGGCACCACCAAATTCATCGTCGTCAAAAATCAATGTCTCACGTTCCAACGTTTCCAGACATTGTAAAATCTCGTCCTGCAATCGGGTCAATTGTTGTTGACCGTAGCTACCACCATAGTAGTTCTGTTGTTGCTGTTGATGGTGATAGTATTGATGGTGGTGATCAGATAGGACCACAGCAGCTGACCCGTCAACAGCGGCTGCCGCATCCAATACTCGGAAAAGATCGTTTAGATCTTTGTCAGTGAACCTTAAAATACAACAATGAAAGAATGGTGAGAAAAAATGTATAAAAAAATAGTTTCTATAATAATCACATTTTATATTATAGAAAACCAATAATAAAAGTCAATTTTTTTTTGTTTTAATACAACTAAATATTATTTATTAATAATGATAAATTAAACCATTTTCATAATTAAAATCGATGTAAAATCATAAAGCTGCAACATATACAAATTTTTAATCAAATTTAATTTTTCAAATATTTATAAAAAGAATTGTGCAAATGTAGGTATTGTCAATACATACAATTTACTCCAAGAACCACTTTTTACGCTACAAAATAAAAATTTGAACTTCTAACGATTATAACAATACATTATACCTATTGTTATTTTCGATTTTTAAATATTTCAATAAATATTTTATGAGCAATTTTATACTAAATTTTCAAGCTTATTGACTTCCATAAAATGATAATTTTATCAAAATTAATTGAAAAAAAAAAAAGCCAAAACTTTTTAAAAATAAACCACGATTATAAAATATAAGCTATTATTATATATTTTGGTAAAAACATCAAGTTTTACTATTGTTCATTTTTCAATTGGAACAAAAGTAAAATAAAATACGATTTGTTGAAAATTGATGCTGCGTAATTATTTCCGACTTTCTATACTTAGTTTAACTTTTAACCTCACTACCCCCGCCCTCAACCAGTACTAATAAAATCCAATTTGAAACCAAAATTCACCACCAAAGTTGAAGATTGAATCATTTTTACTGCTAGATATTGTGATAACAGGCACAAAATATTAATAATAAACATACATTATTGTAAAACCAATAATTTGTCGCTCCGCTCAGAATCCAAAAAAAGTTTTTTTACATAAATATATTTATGGGCTAGATGCATGTTTTTTGTTTCTGACCGATTGTTCGTAGGGGTTTCGTTATCATGGTTAGGTACTTATTAACCAAATCATATTTATGATTCATAGATTTTCCTTGTAGAGGAAAAATATAGAAAGCTTGCTATGGTTTTTTTTGTTGATTTATTAAAATTTACTTTCCCTCATTACAAAAAAAAAATACAATACCTAAGAATACCACTACAAAAAATTAAATAAGATACAACCCGTAACACTTAGTGAAACAAACCTGGCTTTGATGCGAGTGAATATTAATGGAAATATTTGCAACAGGGCTGTTAAAAATTTCTGTTTGTGTTGCAGAGACTGATGATGTTGTTGTAGTGGATATTCGCGACGACGACGGTCCTCCGCCCCAACCGTTGATGAGCCGCTGCTGGTAGTTGAGGTCGGCGGTGGGTTAATGGGGCTTTCGACCACTGTAGTTTCAGTGGCTGCTGTTGCAATTCGCATCCACACAGTCCATGTACACGTCCAAATCTCATTTTCCACCAACGGAGACGGCGGTGCTGCTGCAGAAGCGGTCGATCCACTAACACCGTTTTTACTTTGCCAATCCTCTTCTCGCGACAGTTGGTCCATTGCCGCTGGATTTTTGTCATTTTGCGTCATATTTGTACCCTCGCCAACGTTATTGGAGTTACTATAGACCATTAAGAGTTCATGCAACGAACGTAATCCTGCCAATGATACCTAAAACAAAATAAGACCCATTAATGATTATAAAAAGAACGCTTTTTCGAGAAAACCGAAAATAAATAGCTACAGCACTACACTTAAGGAGGGGGTATTTCAATGGTGGTTTATCTTAGCCTTAAGTTAAACCAGGGCTTGAAACCGGTTACCATGACCAATTTTATATATTTTACCAAGTTTAATATACAAACCTCCACATTTCTATTTAAAGCAGCTTTTTCCATGTATTCCAACAGCAACGTCCACGCCTTGACAAAATCTCCACCCACTGTCATTGAGTATTTCTCTGCGTTAAACACCCTGGCTAGACCATACAGTGTAGACACCTTTATTTGAAATTCAAAACCAACCAATCATAATTATAGGAAGATTGTTATTACATCTGCATTGATCTTGGAAAATCAAAATCAAATACTTCATCTAACCTGTGTTTCTGCCCATTGTTTCTGGTCAGTGTTACGCGAATGGTGTATCAGGATCGTACCACCACCGGCCGATCCACTTCCACCACTTCCACCTCCACCAGTGCCACCTGTACCATCGGAAGATGCAACTGTGTTGCACGTAGAATCACTGGCCGACTCGCAGAGCACCTGTACTTTGTTCATTAACGGAAACAGTACCTACGACAAGAAATAATTATTATAATTTATCAGAAACAAAAAATAAACACACAGAATATTATGTAAAACCAATTTAATTTATTACCTGCCACAGGACAGCATTCCAAGACGACGGCGTCAACAAATTTGCATGGGCTGAAATTGTTGATAACAACGTTTGTCCAGCCGACTTCCTAACAGCGGGTCTGGGATCAATACACAGTTCACCTATAACACGCATTGGAATTACAAGAATAATTATTTTTTGATCAATATTATATACGAACATTTTATTGCAACACAATAATATTTTTTGTTTGTATACTCACCAAGCTTGGTGAACAAGCACATCCACAACTTGTCAAACTCTGACATTTCGGCTAGCGTAGTTACACCAGGAAAATCGGGATACACCAGTTCTTGTGGGTCAGTGTTTCCTGAAATTGTTGAATCTATTGTATTACCACTATCAGTCACTGCTTCACCACTGGCTCCTCGTTGTTTACTGCTATCACCTCCACTGTTGTTACACAGCAATTTGTCTTTATTATCTTTGAAATAATCAGCAACGTTCCACTGTGAACACATAAAAACAACAATTGTTTTTGGTAAATATTTCAAAAGTTGTCCTTAATAAATATGAAACACAACAAAAATATTTACAATTTTAAAGCACAACTACTATAATAGCTAGTACATTTTGGGGGAGAAACTTGAGTCCCACCATAATATTATTCGTTAGTTTAAAAATTTGAGTGAATTGACCTATTATGAAATTTAGAAGTAAGAATATTATCTAGTGAACCTCATTGGGTTTTTTTATATTTTAATTCTAAAACAAGTTATGAGTATTTTAAAATGCACAAACAATTTACCATTTTAAAAAACCCAATGAGGTTCACTAGATAATATTCTTACTTCTAAACTTCATAATAGGTCAATTCACTCTAATATTTAAATAAATTGAGTTACACGTGTTCTACTGAGAGTAAAATGTGTTATGTTATGCACTTTATGTCCTTTTAATATAGCAATGAGTGGGTTACTAGTAATATTACCAGTCTTCTGAAGTTATATATATGTTAACATAAAATATTCTAAAATATTAAATAAACCTTAGGTCCCTTCTATCTAGTACCTACGTAAATGTGAACACCGTGAAATAAAATTAGTAAAATGTTTTTTTATCTTTCTGTGCAGATACTGAATAATGTCTAAAAAAAAAATTGAGGGACTTAGCTCCCGTACCCATTTAATTTGAGGCAACTGAACACATAATACTCCAATGATGTTTTAAACAAAAATCAATTATTACCATTAATCCTAATGCTGTCAACGATATGTTCAAATCACGTGTTTGCATTCCGAATTTTGCTGTGGTTTCTAGACACAAAGGTAAGCATTTGCATGGCATCAGTGGCAAAAAATCTGTGAGTACCAGTTCCAAGCACTGGAATGCTATCCTTATCAGGTTCTCTCTAAAAAATGTAAACAATTAATGAATGCAGTTCAACAAACTTTATCAATAATATTAATATACAAGTATAACATAATTCATTATTATACTACTATAAAAATATACTATTATGTAATAATAATACATTACCCATGACGGTCTGATACAGCGCCAACTATGTTCAACACTAATGGCCAACCATGTGACAATGTCTGCCCTGATCCATGAAGTACTTGCAGTACACATTCCAATTGTCGTTGTCTGACATCGCCATTCATATTTAATGACAATTGTGATAATGGACTCAGCAACAATGTCTGTAGTTTCTATTATTAAAATATGTATCAATCAATGATAATTTTAACAAAATTAACTGCACAGTGAAGATATTTATTTTCACAGCATAATAATATAATATTGTAATAACATTTGTTGTCAAAAATAATTTGTAATCATTTCTGACACAATTATGATACAGAAAGGGGGAGAAATGTAATTTATGTAATAATTCATAAATCAAGTTATGATGTGCATCAGATATAAAATCTATCCTTCTTCCACTATAACATAATTAATGTACCAATGAGTGATACTTTAGTTAAGTATTAAATGTGGTAAATCATCAATACTACACTGACTTGATTATCTTTTAGTGGAGGCTGATACTTGTACTGCAAAGCTGCTTTCACCAGGTATGTTATAGCTTCGACACCCCATTCACGCATTCTAATATGTGGATGCTGGCACACATCCAACAAGTGATTGGTCACAGGTCTCCATAGTATGTCTATACGTGAAAGATTAACTAATCCAGTTTCCAAAAGTTTAGCAACAGCGAACAGTGATGGTTCCTGCAGATATACACAGAAATTGAATTTATGTTCACAGATAAATCATAGTTTCTATACTATGTAACGATAAAAAATTACCCGATTGCAATAGGCCAATTCCATGGCTTCATGTGACAGCTTGCACAGTGCATCAATTAAATGATGAAGAGCAACATCATCCAGATACCGACTGGACTCAAAAAGCCGACTGAGCATCGTTGAAAGTACAGGGAGGTCAGCAGCCATGACAGCCGTAGTTATGACAGCAACATTTGATGATGACAAAGTGGTTGACACTGAGGAAGTGGACGAAGACAATGAGCCAACACCCGTTACATCCGTAGCAGTGGCAGAAGTGGTGACACCTGAGTGTCTATTAGGCACTGATGTAGCAGCACTATTTCCTGCTTTGAGGCTACCACCTGTTGATGGTTTCAAACCCAATATCCAGACAAGATGCTACAAAAAAAAATCTAACTGTGTAATCTTATCTATAGCTATTTATTATATAGCCAATACATCACTAATTACAAAAAAGTGAATTATCATACATCGATACACTTAACATATAATTATAAAGAATAAAAAGATAGAAATAAATGATTCGATACCTGCAGAGTGGTTAACACCAGATGCCACGATGAACCCAGGATGGAACCATGGCAATGGGCTAGTACTAAGAGAGCCCGCATGCACTGCAGATTCTTAGCGGTTAGCATAACAGGCCCATGGTTCTGAAGTGAGGTACCTAAAAAGCACAATTGTGATCCAAAAATAAAATAAATGTAATATAAAAAAGTTGCGCATGATACTTAAACATAAATAGAAATAGTCTAACCGGATGGCGATGATGTCTGCAAAACTGACGAAGGTGTGGCCAACGGAGTACCTACGGCTACTATGACCTGCTGTTGTTGCTTGTAATCAGCTGATTCTGGGCCATACCCTCCACCAGTAGCACTACTATATTGTTGGTGATGGTGGTCATCATACATCGTTGCGGAAGTGGCATATTGCACAGTTGGTGAAGAAGAAGACATTGATGGTTGACCAGCACAACAAGTATTGACAGTCCCGCTAAATACTGTTAGGTTGTAATGCGGTGGTAAGCATGCACGGCACACGGCTGTAATGAAGGCATCACGTGGTCCCCTCATATCCAACAGACCACATAGGCCAATATATGCTTGCATCGCTTTCAGCATGTTTTCTGTGATTCCTTCATCGGTACTAAAAAAGAATAATACAAATTAGATATCACAAAGACACACACAACACTATATTATAAAACTTTGTAATTACAAACAAAGAGGAGAATTAATACACACCATGACTCAATTAGCGGGCAAAACGTTGTTAGTAGTCCATACCAGCTACTGTTAATTATCTGTTCATGTAAAGGAGATCTCTTGACTCCTGTTGTTTGCCTCTGTTCGTCATTACCATTATCATCTTCTTCTTGGGTATTCTTTTGGGAAACACCATCAGTATGTCGGTGATGACTACGGCCATCATCACCAACACTGGATGACACAGCTGTGGTCGAAGGCGGAGACACAACAGATTGATGTATGTCAGGATGCACTTCAATTTGAATAGCACGAACAGTGTCTACTAGACATGCATACGCCACAGACACGCCATACCCATCGGCCACTTGTGGTGGTTCATCATGTTTGTCATTCATTTCCAGGCTATTAAATTTAAATAAAACAAACAATACATTTTAATACATTTTTCAACAGAACCTAATCAAATGCCATAATATGCAGGGCTTGGCAACTAATTTTCTATTAATTTTATGTTCTTTTATTAAATAGAAAATAGAAAAACCTATCAAAATTGGCCCTGACTAATAAACTTTTCAAAGTTCAAGTAAAATAATAGTAAAATAATTTTAATAGTATTTTTTAGAGCATTTAAAAAAAAATCTGTTAAGACTGCATAAATCATGTTTTTTAAGGCATTTTTCTTATATTTTAGAACAGGGGTGTCCAACCCGCGCCCCGTGGTAGATTTTGATGCGGCCCTTACTTCGATTTAAAAAACCATTAATAATAAATTAATACTACGAAAAAAAAATTTATTTTAAAATATAAAAGCATAAAATATTAAACATCAAATAAAGATAAACTTTATTAGTGTTGTAGCTTTATTGGCTCCAATAGCAATATTCCGTGTCATTTATCAACAAAAATATTTCTGCTTATAATTCGCTATAGTAAAATTTAATAAAAATGTATTGTTGTATTATAGAATATAATTTAATCATTCAATTTCAATGTATGATTATTAAAAAGTATATGGCCCACAACAACTTCTATCCATATGATGTGGCCCAGTCTTCACAAAAGGTTGGATGGACACCCTTGTTTTAGAGCATTTAAATCCGTTCCATAGTTATAACTACTTGACTTATATAAATGTTTTTACCATCAACGTTCTTATAATGAGATTTATAAATTGGCTTATTTTTAAATTGTAAAAAAAATTTGAATCAAGAAATAAAAATGAAAAAGGTGAATGGATGGTGTTAAATTTGCATTTAATGATATAATATCATTGTATAAGAAAAACGATTCTGAGCGAAAACCGTCAGTCAGCCTATGATATTACGAAGTATATTTGATGATAATAAGGTGCATAAAGTAATTTATATATAACCTATTTAAGTAGAATCTTGTTTTTAATTTTCAATCTTTAGCTATGAAAGTTGAACATTTTATAAATTTTTAACTACAAAATCATTATTAAATTTTAAATGTGATACATTTTGTAAAAATTAGAACTTTAAATGCTTATAAAAAAAAAATTGTGCCTATGTATTTTTAATATTTTTCAACTGCTATTGCAACAATATATCAGGAGCATTGCATTAAATTTTCACGCTTTCTTACACAACTAATACAATTTTAGTGATATATATAGAAAAAAAACTAAAAATATTGGAAACTGACAATGTCTGTAAACAGCTCAAAATGAGTCAAATTATATTCAAAATTGTATGGTAAAAAGTGATGACAGACGCAAAAAAAAAAATGAAAAAAACACACATCATTGTAAAATCAATACATTCATTGTTTCACTCAGAATCTAAAATGTATACTACAAATATAGCTCAAGTTCCTACTAAAAAATTTTATAATGTTATAAGTATTGATTATAAAAAAAATTATTGCATTATTCAGTTCTTTCACACTGTATATAACACTGTATAGATTCATATCATTTTATAACAATTGATATTCTTTATTGTACTTTAAATACATTTATACATAATTATATTTAAGTATTGAATGTAAATTTCATGATAATATAATATTACCATACATAATAATATATACAATTATGAACACCTGAGAGGCCACATAGAATTTGAAATTTATTTATTTGGGCAAGACTGTAGTTTCCCACAAAATGTTAAGTTAATAAGATATAATAAAATAAATTATTGAAAAAAAGGAACTATTTATGTAATTTTTACTTAATTAAAAGTATTTTAACTCGTTAATACTCATCTTAGATGTTACGTATTAGTTGATTATAAACGCTACTCACTAGATAGACTTAGCTTGACCAGTTGGTAGCTGGATCACTACTGGTAGCCATACACCACCACGGCCAAAAAAACCAGGTTGTGGTGACACACCAGGCCCGACTGGCATGCCGGCCAACACAGCTGGCGACTGTCCTTGGAGTGCTGCGTTTGCGGTTGCTGCTAAATACATAAAATTGTATTCCATATTAGTATCGGGATTATTAGAATAAGTTTCAGTAAAGGTTCCCACACAGTGCAGTGGTGGCAATTTCCGATGGGGCGGCAACGGCAAAATGAAGCCGCTCACAATTTACAGGTACCACTGCAGTGTGTAACGACCTTAAACAAAATTACAAGTACACACCCATCATTGCAGCATTGTTCATAGAGCTACCACCTGATACCACCATAGCAGGATTAAATAATGATTGCACATATCCAGCTAATGAATCAATTATGTCTCTAAATATCTTAGTGCTATGCAACTTGAGATCATAACACGCACAAAATGCGGCTAAAAGGCCAGGTTCAACCACCAGGCGATGTAACACCTCCAAAGCAACAGATCGTTGCCATGCAGGTTTGTCCGCATCCAAAAATTTGACAATCAATGATAAGAATATCTCACATTCGGTGATCTAGGGAAAATAACAAATAAATGCATAATTTTTTTATTTGTTTTAAGAAATTACAGTCATCATCTTTAGTGATAAACCGAAATCCAACACTCATAGGATATTTTCACAATAATGTTAATGGATTACGTACCAGTAGTTTATGGTATTTGCGAACGAGTATAGAGACGAGACGCAACAGTCGTACAGTGATTGCATAATGCGGTCTATCGTCGCCACGATGATTAGAGGTAGGACTACCAGCGCCACCAGTAACACCCATCATCATTACTGAAGAGCTATTATTGCCAGAAACAGATGAAGCACCAGTTACTGTGTTGGAGATTGTGTTTCTCCTGCCAGAACTACTGCCACTATGATGCTTGACATTAGGCGAAAATAACTTGATGACTAATGCACAGACACGCTCTTTCAATAGGTATCTAAACTCCATGTGCTACAAAAGAAAAATGGTAAATATATTACTTATACTATACACTTAAAACTATAATAAAACTCATTAACTATACTCATTAGGAGGATTAACAATATTATAAATTATTTCAGCTTAAATTTAAAATTAATTGTAGATAATTTATTTATATCAGGTGACAATTCCTGGAATGGTGTCAAAATTATTAGAATTTTCTTAGATTATTATATGAATAAATTTATATGATTTTAGGAAAGGCAGAGCTATTGAAATATATTCAATATATTCGTTTAAGTGTATCATTAAGATAAATTTAATCATTAAGTTATTAGTCAGGTTGGATGTTGTTTACACTAATATTAAAAAAAATTGACTTTGTTAATATACATTTGAATATTATCTATCTTAAACGACCATACTTTAATCCAGCATCCTTAAGGGAGAGGACTTTTTACATATTTTAATGTTTTTGTTATTTTTTTAAATTGATATTACATATTTATAAATTAAAATGATGACAAATATGATTGAATATTATGTTTTTTTTTTCATTCAGCATGTCATATTAAAATTCAACATAATTTACATAATTTAAAAACTAAGTGTGCCTTTCTTGGATTTTTATTTATGCACAATACAATTAGTGAAATTATATAAAATTTTATTAAATATAATTACTAATTAGTAATATTTTAATTTTGAACAAATAAAGTTTAAATTATCAAGTTTCAAAATATTATAAACATGAAAAAAATGGAAAAATATAATATGAGTTAATATTATAACATATTCATTATCTTCTTAATTATAAATTTATCTGACCTCCATGTAAACATGAATGACATTTTAAAAATTGATAACCGCCAATAACATTATACTTCTAATTTAAAATACTGAAAATAATAAATAAAATATTAGTCCTTCTAATAAAAGTATGTACTGGTTTAGTATTGGTTCTAAAGATTAAAACATAATTAATTTGCTTGGTTTTTTAAAAATAACCTTACATTTTAGTTTAGTACAAATTTTCATGTACCAATTACATTTTTATGATAATATTAATTAAAGTCCTAACAAGACTTTATAATAGACAGTAGGTTTTAATCAAAAATAATTTGTATTTTTAGAATAACAAATTTGTTTATATAAGCTATCTAAAACTTAGTTCAACAGATAATAACAAACTTTTTTATAAATAATATACATTAATTGGTATAGGGTAAGGTAGTTTAACGATAAATATTTTTAAATTTGATTTCTTCAATTTTAAATTAATTATATCTTTTATTTCATTAAAATGAACAACTGTTATTTCTTAATTCTCATGCACTGTATGCACTTATGTATCAGTAAATTTTAATATAGGTATTCCATGTTTAAATCACACTTCATATGCATACAAGATTAAAACTTACATGAAAGAAATCACAAAAATAAAAATAAAAAATAAAAACATACTCCAAGTATTTGCCTATTTAATTTAGTTGTTGTATCACAATCATAATTTGGGTAATTACAGTTGGATACTCACAACTGCTTTTTATAAGTATTATCATAATGAATAATATTCAGTATTTATTTATAGGTATAATTTAGGGATAATATATTAGAATGGAATTGTTTTTATCATTTGTAAGATGACTCTTGTCCAAATAGTATAAAACAAACAGCTGACAGACATGATTTGAAATTAACCCAATAAACAATTACTTTATAGAACACAGGCTGAAAATCAGAAAGCACAGATTCCAATAGTTCCAGGCCAAACGTTCTGGTCATTTCTGTCATGCCCACCAGCCAATATGGACGGTCGGTGTTCACCAATCGCACAAGGTCCTATGGAAATATATAATAAAGTATGCATTAAACATACGGATAGAGTATAAAAAGCATAAAAAAAAACAAAATAATAAAATATTATTATAATATACTTGGAACATATGATATGCATCTGCTGCACACGGGCCCAATGTTGATACAGGGGGTTCATAGCCAGTAGTATTGCTACCATTATACTGATTATGGTGGTGAAGCAGTGGCAATGGTTGAGTTCTACTACTTTGCTGTGGTTTGTGATCTTGCGAAGGAGCAGAGGAATCTACACCATTTTTTTGCTGCTGTGCGTCACACCCGTTATCGTCATTTGTGGAGACTTTAAGTAGCTGTTCACGTTGCTCATCTTCGTGAATTACACGTTCAAATACTAGAGCCACAAGCTGACGCACAGTAGCACCAGCTGTGTTGATGACAGCTTGTGATTCTTTGGTAAAATGCAGTCGGAAACATAACACCAAATTCTATAATGCATACACATGACAAAAATTAGTAATTAAACATCAATAGTAGTTTAATACAACATTTACCGTAATATATAAATAAAGCATTATAATTACCCTAGCTAGAGTTTCGCCGCGCACCACACAGTCTGTGGTCAATAGTAGCGTGACACTCTGCAATACTTTTACATGCTCAGTCCCAGACTCCATCAGCATCCACAAGGTATCAGTTATATAACGGGCACCTTTTTGGTCGACTGCCCGGTGTGTGATTAGTTTCTGTATGGTTCCCAGACACATCTATATAGTTTTGAAATAATAAGAGAAACCAAGGATAACAAATTTAAATTTAAAAAAATTATAATTCTATTGTACACCCCCTATTAAATGACTATTAAATACACCAAACCAAAGTGTTTACTGTACAGACCTTGACAATTTTTGGTTCTTTGGTCTCGCAACCCTGCACAACAGGATATAGTATTTGGTTGACGACATAATAGATCTGGTGATGGTTATGGTGTGACTGTTGTTGTTGTTGTAAGTGATCGGCCGCAACAGCCGCCGAGTTTCTCAGCTTGACAATGGCCTCTTCGGAAGCCTGTAATGGACACATCATAACAATAATATCATTACACTGTAACAGCTAGATGGAAGCTATGGCTTCATTCGGAACCAACCACAGCACGGACATAGGTACACACAAACAGTAATGTAAAACGGACGTACTCACCTCTTTGATCTGAGGATATTTCTTCTTTGTCTCCATCGACAAGCACTTAAAGTCATTCTGCAGCGATTCCAGTAGCCTGATGGCGTTTTCGTTGTCGGTGACGGACGACGACGGTGACGACGTGCCGCCGGCCGAACGCCGGAGAGCCATGACGGTCGGTGGCCGTGCGAGGCCGACCGTTCCCTCTCGCAGAACCTAACCAACCTAACCTTTGCCAGCACCGTGTACGAATCTCTCACTCACTCTCACGCCCGTCGAGGGGGGGCCGCCTCCCGTAGATCGGCCTGGATAGTCTTAGTAGTCGGCGGTGCGAGACTCGACAATGGCGCCCGTCTATACAGCCCACTGACTGGCCACCGTGTAAACCCGACCGTCGTCTAGCACACTAGCCGCTGGCAAAACGTCAGTCACCTGCGAAAGAAATGAAATCGTCGTAAAATGTCGGACGCAATTGCACTACGGTCGTCTCGCCGAGAGTAAGTCTCCGTTCGATCTTTGATGACAACAGCGACGGCGTTCGACGATAACAATGATAGAAGGGAAAAAAACGTATGTAATCGCTGTAATCTGCGGTATTGACGTTGTCGACTTGTCGTTGTTGTCGTCGTCGTTGCCGCCGCCGCCGCCGCAACGGTGGTCAACTGTCGATGTAGCACTAGTGAACTGCGTTGCGCATTGATAGTGGTCGTGGTAGTAGTGGTCGAGAGCGACGTGATAACAAATTAACAAATCACAAAATAAATAATAATAAGTATATTATAATTTATAGGACGTAGGCGTACGCAGGAGAGGCACTGGGCAATGGGCATTCCCCGAAATGTTGTAATCGGTGCCCTAAAATGTACAAGTCTCAGAGCAGCTATAGAGTTTGTTATTGACAACAAAAGTACAAATAATAAAATATAAACATTGCAATTACCTACCAAGCACGTGGAACCATTGTTCTATGGTGGAACCAAGGGAATATAGGTACATGCAACACGGAAGTTGGTTCTAGTAAATAATAATTATATTATATTTATATACTACTGATAGGTACATACCTATTGTCTTGTTCAGACCCCCGAAATTCAAATCTGCTCTCGCCTATGAAAGTAGGTATTATAAAACGTCATATCTACATATTTTATTCATAGGTACCTACTTCATACTTAGGAACTAGGGTACCCTTTATTATTACATATTATGTTATCCTTATGACTATATACCTTAGTATATGATCTATTATCTAAGATATAATATGTAGGTACTTTTTATTTTAATACCTAGGAAATAATATTACGAAATATCTGGTAAGTAGGTACCTTACTTTCTACCTAGGTATTTAATTTTGAAAAGTCATAATATTTTATTTTTAGATATTAATTGATTAATTAATTTAATTAAGGGCAGTGAGCACAATATAATTCTCAAAATCATATATATTTAACCTAAGTGAGTTAAATATTGTGAAGATTACATGCAATTGCATATTGTGTAATAATAATACAGAAATACACAATATAAGAAATATATATAAGTAGGTACATAGCGTATAATAATAGCAATTTTTATTAATATCTATTAAACAAGTGAGTGTGCTCATTGCTCATTTCCAAGGCACGTTTCTGCCGTAATTAGTATTGTGGAAAGTACAAAGTATTGTGGGTGAAATGAGTATGATTTTGAACTTTCCCAGCCTCCTATAACTTCAATATTAATTTTTCAAATCTGAAAAAAATCTAGTATAGGCCCACAGTATAAATGACTAAATTTGCATAAAAAAAATAAAGTTTAAGTATAACTTGGTTAAGATAAAAATAATAAGTGGTGTTCCATGTCACATTGAGTTTCGGGTGCAAGAAACAGTAGGGTTTTTTTTAATGTTTTTGAGTATTTAACTTACCATACGTTTTACTTGGAACACAAATAAGGTTTTTAAAAACATCTTTGTACCTACATATTATAACATTTTGTAAAGTTTCATCAGAGAAGTTTCAGTAAAACGACTAACCGGCTGTCTCTTGTATGGGTTCAGTATGTATCAAGTCACCATTTTTTTAACAATGAAAAAGAAAATCATTCTCAAAAACTCAGATTATGAATATTTTTAAATAATGTTTGGACTAGCGTCTAGCTTGTAATAAAACTGTTGCACATCAATTAAAAAATATGCATACCTAAATTTTGTGTCTCGAACGGTATCAGTTTTGTCTACGAAAAATGTGTTTTTTTTTATCAAAACTCACTAAGTTTTATCAAATTCAATAAAAAAAGTCACCGTGTTCCAAGTCAACACTCAACTCTCAAAGTCCATTCCACCTGCTTTGACGGTAATAACGAAGGGAGCGGATGACCTAGTTTGAAGGGATGGAAGTTTAAAATTAACTTGAGAGAGTAGGGTTTTGCATCAATACATCCATAAATTAATTTGTGTAAAAAGAGTAAGTTAGCCTCAACTCTACTATCAGCTAAAGAAACAAAATAAATAAATAATAATTGAAGCATGAAAATGTTCTCAAATTATATTGATTTATTTAGGAATGAGGACAGAAGCTAAGTATTAAAATATTTAAATCTCATACCTACCTACGAAAGATCTTTGAATAACTCATACCTACCTATCTAGGTACCTAACAAATCCTTCTAGGCACCTACAGAAATTATAGCAATGGCATAATTACGGGGGGGGGGTAGGGTTGCCAACTTCCAAATTGTATAATGTAGGACAATTTATTTTATTTCACATTTTATACCATAGTCGAATAGTTTCAGTGGCGTAGCCAGAATTTCGAAATGGGGAGTGGGATAACCGGAGTCTGGATAAACCAAAAATAAAAATAATAAGCCCACCACTATGGTAGTTAATACTGGTTATATGTATAAACAATACGGTAAACGGGGAGGGGTATGGTGTATGGCCTAAGGCTTCACCAGTTCACCACTGCATAGTTTAATAAACAATACTGTAATCATGTAATCAACAGAACATAATATAATAAAAATGAACATAAAATAAATAACATAAATTATTTAATTTGTAACAAACTTAAAAATTTCCGCAAACGCAACTATGCAACTATAATGAAAACATAAAAAAAAAATAAAGAATATTCAACATTTCAATGTCTATTTTTGTAAAATGTTGGAATGCAGGATTGTCCTACAAAAAGTTTAAAGCTTTGTAGGACGTAGGACAAATCAAACAAATGTAGGACAGTCCTGCCCAATGTAGGACGGTTGGCAACCCTAGGGGGGGTTGTGTGTCGGATTCCCTACGTATACTTTTTTTTAAATTTTCAAACCATATTTATTATTTTAGTACCTACTTATTTAACTATAAATAATAAATATTATTATTTATATGCACCTATTAGGCAGTAAAATTGTATATATAAATAAACATAAAAACCCGACTCCCCAATGCTTGAGCTAGCTATACGCATAAGTGCATAACTAAGATAATATATATTTATATATTTTTTCGACAGACTTGAAAATCACCCTAACCCATTAATAAAAGAGCTACATACCTTCTCACTCCCAGGAAATCCACTACGTAGACTCAAAAGGAAATGGTGTCGTGACCATTTAAATTAAATATCCCGCAATTACCCTAAATATAACATCAAGTAAGTAAGTGCCACTAATGGGTGGCTTCTTATTCAAGCAATCCATGTTTATATTTTTTTTAACTCTTATCCTATACGCTTATTGTGCAAATTGTATAGATTGTGTATGTTCATTTGTAAAATAAAAAAAAAATAAAAATATATTACATTATATTAAATAATTAGGTATTTCATAATAAACACTAATCAGTAATCACTATCGCACAAATATATAGGTATTGAAAATTCAAATACGGCATAACCGTGCAGTTTAGCTTCCTAGCGATGATGTTTGGAAATATTTTTCTGAAACCTATGTATTTAATCGAGTTAAGAACAATGATGGAATCAGAGTTCTGTCGGACTAAGTTTCAAAGTTATAAGTTATAACCTTTTGAAATTATTTTGAGTATTTTACGTAGGTACCTACCTTTAGCCTACCCAGATTATTCCACGAATCAACATAACTCTATTAAAAGTGTAGTGATCACTCACTAACGCTTATAAAAATGAGTTCTTCGACTTGTGGACATGAGTGTTGAAATTAGATCAGGTTTTGACGAAGGAGAGAGTTGTTGTCATCAAGTCCTTGGTCATATTTGTAGTTATGAGTTAATTCTATGAATTGTAGAACAGGAATAATAAAAAAAGTGTTGTTTTATATATTAGCATAAATTAACATTTGATTCCAAATTCATTTTTGGAATCCGTGAATGATTGTTGTCCATTTATTGAATATTTGTCACTCCATGAAAAATCATAGTTTTGTGATACTTTGACATTTATTGTATTATAGTAAAGTTCTCCGTCGGTTTACTACAAAAGTCTGTAATTATTTATAATGCATTTATACATATACTTACTTACAGAATACAGATCACGATGGTAGTAAGTACTAAGAGCTTGTGCTTATAATAAAAATCAACTTTATTCTTTTTTTTTAAGGGGCCTGCACGCGACCTGTTTTTTTGCTCAAAAACATGCCTTACAGGAAAAACTCTCACGCCTCGTAGATTGGTCCGATTTCCGTAATTTTTTTTTTGTTAGATAGAGGAAGACTTCTTACAGGGCGCATTGGACTTGGATTTTCAAAATTATTTTTCTAAGTCTGATGTTACAAGTTTGAATTTAATCAATTTTTACAACTTTTTAGTTTTTGTATTATTTTTTGTTTTTAGAGACGTAATCAAAAATCGAAGTCCAATGCGCCCTGTAAAAAATATTCCTCTATCTAACAAAAAAAAAAATACGGAAATCGGACCAATCTACGAGGTGTGAGAGTTTTTCCTGTAAACTGTGTTTTGACCGATATAATACACCCTATCAACCCCCCCTAAATAGGTATTGGGTAGTAGATTAGTGGAAAAGTCTTATAATTGAGGTGGCAACTAAAATATAAAATTTAATTTTCAAATTTTATAGAATTGCGGAAAATTTGAAAAATCGCGAGCAGGCCCCTTAATGTGGGATTGTTCAATAATCCAGTTATTAATACCTATTAATCATTATTTATGGAATTCAATTCCAATTACAGTGTCTTAACTGTCAAGTGAGTTATGA